ACACAAACACACACAGATCAGACATGGTGTCTGAACCAGAAGCACATGGCTCTTGCTTTTTCTTTTGCCTTCAGAAACTCTTTGTTTCCATGACAACCACACACAGAAGTCACCCTTCAGTTTGCAGCATGCATGCATGCATGCGTGTGTGTGTGTGTGTGTGTGTGTGTGTGTGTGTGGGTGAGTGTGTTGACAAGAGAGACGGATGAATACCATTTTCATCACTCAGGGCCAATAAGGCAGACTGCAGTGAGTTAAATGGAGGGCAGGAGTGTGTGAGAGATGTGAGGACGGAGGCAGAAATGAAGAGAGAGCAGACTGGTAGTGCTATCACACCGACAAAGCAGACAGCTACAGGCAGCCAGACAGATGGTGCTGTCTGCTGTGTGAACCCTCATGGTGATTCGGTGAGTCTCTGAAAGTGGTCGGAGGCCAATTTAACGGCTTCAAAAGCAGAGGGGATGGGGATGAACGGGACTTGAGCAGCTCCCTGGGCTCTGTCTGCAGACCATCAGATCACCCAGGATGCAGGTTAGCTCCAGCTGAAGTACCAGTCTCTCTCTCACTCACTGCACATAAGCTCCACAGCAAAGTCCGTTGTTCCAGTGGGGCTAGGGAAATGGCACTTAGACTGAAAGTGGCCGCAACAAGAGAGCAACAGTCTTGATCTACTCTTACTCATCAGACTAGAGACCACCCAGAAGATCTCAGCAGATAAATCAAAAACAAATGCCTCTCTCTGGCTGCTGGAATGTAGTGCACAAACACCAAATCTTCTCGGATAGGATGAAATGTTCTGAAGTGGGATGTTAATTGCTGTATTTATTTGGAGGTCGGACAATAAAAATTGTGGGACTTCCTTTGGTAGTTAAAAATGATTTCAGACAAGTCAGCCCAAACAAAAGGAGTTCCGCCCACCCAGATGCTAAAGTGGAATGTACATTTATTGAAGATAGTGCTGCAAATATTATTACACACATTTGGTTGCGTGTGTATCTTGCATCCTACTGGAACCATCAGCCTAATGTTTTTTGTGCACATTTATGACCATATGCTTAATGACCTAGTTCAAAATGTTTGAATAACCTTTTCTATTGACTGCTCTGTTATACTGACTGCTGACTCCTCTTAACCAGCCAGTAGGGGGCGCAATATTCGCCATTTTACATAATGAGTTACTGACAGCAAAAAGCTTTGAGGCAGTCAGTTGAAGTTTGGTCTCATCTTGAAACGGAGCTTCTTCAGAGTAATTCCATACCTCGTTACGGTCCACTCAACACAATACTAGCACCGTTTTTGTTATTTCCGGCGCCATCTAGACTGCAAGGGAAGTGTTTGGGAAAGGGTACGGATGCCAAATTTTGATTGTGTGATTATGTAGAGAAAGAGATCTAGGTCAAATAAAATGTAAATGGCAAATTTCACATTTTACAATTTACATTTACATCATATAGGTTTATTTACTAATGTGTGTGTGTTTGTGTCTGTGTAAATATATAAAATTTAATATATAATATATAACATACTACTGTTATGCAATACTACTATATATCCCACCTTGAATGTGACACTCAATTATATATACAGTGTAGTATCTGATTCACTGAGCTCTCTATAGGATAGGCATTATTTTAGTGACAAATATATTAAGTCATCTGTAAATCCAGGACCCCGAGCAGGTCTGGTACCAAATAGCATTTAATCAAATCCAAATCCTTTCTAGCACTTTCAGATTTACCAAATGTTTTGCTTTCATTTTGTGTTGATTCTGGCAGCCCCTGTGGACAAAAGCGGTACTGTTTCTACCACCTCCTTTCATTGATATTAAGGGGAAACCAACCAAATTCAACACGGTGTCTGCCAGGCATTAAGAATAACATATATATAAAAAGCCTCCCTCTGATGGTCTTGTTTGTTTATGTAAGTCATGTAGAGGCATCATCATCATATCAAATATGAGAAGCTGCTACTTGAATGTTTGGCACATTGTTATTTGCTAATGAAAAATAGCAAGGAAAGATAAGAGATATAATAAGAGATGTGTTCATGGGTATGTTTTCTGTTTTACAGAGGGAGCGGGTCCTCTTCTATGGAATCCGCCATGTTGAACCACCATGTTTCCCACAGCAGCCCAGAATGGACAAACCAAACACTGGCCCTTGAAGAGGTAGCTAAAGTAGGTTTTCCCACATGCTTGGAACGAGAATGTAACGAGAGGGGGTCGCAATCTGCAACTGCACTGCCAGATGCCACTAAATCCTACACACTGCACATTTAAGGATGGGTTACCAGAATCAAAATGGAACCGGCTATCAGAGCCCCTCTTTTAACAATGAAAGTCAAAAATCTCAAAGTTAACTCCAGCTGTACAGGAACTCAAAATAGAGTAGAAGTAAAATAGTCTACAACTGGCAAAAAATCTGACTGAAATCAGTAATATCTATCAAAGAAAAGAAACACACTATAAATCCAACCAGACATTTGATGTAAGGTTTCGGTACTTTGTGTTGGACAAATTACACTTAACACATAAAAAGTATTGAAGTTCAACACCCAGTCCTTTATCAGTTTGTGCCTCTTGCATATCACCATTGCATTCAAGTCACAGAGCTGAACGTCCATTTTTCCGAGAAAATCCAAAAGACGTCATTGAACCACTCCTTGCTCATTTTGTGTGACACAAGAAAAACATACACACGACATAACATTTTTGTTATGAAAGAAAGTAATATATTTTATATTCATATGTAGAAATGTAACTGATAGTACACCATTTTCATTTTGGCAATGAGATATTTCACATCAGGAAACCATTCAACCACTTCAATTTGTGATGCAAAAATAATTCCCACATTATAATGAACTGCAATACCTGTCAAAATAATCGCAATATGATGTTTCTACTAGGGATGCTCGATATTGGCATTTCTGCTCAATTTCCGATACCGATATCACCCGATACCGATATATGCAGGCTTTTTACACCAAAACTGTTAGGTAACAACATAAGATATCTCCTGTTGTGGAATTAACACATTATGCCTCATTTTATTGTGATGCCCCACTGGATGCATACATAAATGCAACATGGCTTTCCAAATGTAAACACTGTCTGTGCAAAATAAGAGAACAACTTCAACTTTCATTGTATTAATACTGAAAAGAGTGCTAGTGCTAATCGCTAGCTATGTATATCGGAGGGCCGATAAGATCGGACATCCCTAGTTTTTACCATATCGTGCAGCCCTAATTTAAAGATATCACTAGGGCTGCACCTAACAATTATTTCACTATATCACTGATTAGTTATTTGGTCAATGAAATGTCAGAAAATGGTCCTCAATTATTTTGTTTTGTCCACATAAAAAAAAACAGTTTACTGTTATAGAGGAAGAAAGAAAGCAGAAAATATAAAAAATGACTAAATTAATAACAAATTATCAAAATAACTGGTGATTAATTTAATAGTTGACAACAAATTAATTTATCAGCAATCATATTGGCTTTAGACATCAACTTTGAGAAACTGGGATGGACATTTTTCACTAATGGTAAATGGTAAATGGACCTGTACTTGTATAGTGCCTTTCTAGTCTTCCAACCACTCAAAGCGCTTTTACACTACGTGCCACATTCACCCTTTCACACACATTCACTCAGTGATGGCAAAGTCCATCGAACAGAAACTAACATTCATACACATTCAGACACCGACGCACGGCATCGGGAGCAATTCGGGGTTCAGTATCTTGCTCAAGGATACTTCGACATGTGGCACCAGGAGCGGGGGATCGAACCCACAAACTTCCGATTAAGGAACGACCCGCTCTGCCTCTGAGCCACAGCCGCCCTACTTTCTGATATTACAGTATAGACCAAAACCAATATTTGGCAGATGAAGCAATAGTGAAAACAACGGTTAGCTGCATCTCTAAGCTGATCCCAGACCACCACAACCAAGAAGACTATATCTCAGCATATTCACATTAACTACAGATGGTTGTCTGACCTGAGCTCAATCCTCAGGTCACAGCACAGACACTACTATTCAGACATTTTCATTCATTGCTGCAGCCATTGTCCATGTATGACATGACGGTTGCAGTTGTTAGGTAAGAGAGTTTATGTAGAATCAGGTCATTCGTGCACACTATCGCTCAAAGCTTTGGGGTCTCCTGCCACAAAGGTTTGATTGCGTACAGTCAGATGGCTGTTCAATCTTACCACTGAGTATTCTGCAGAGGGCCCAAAGAAAAACAGGTTCCTGATTTTTTTAGAGCCCAGTTGCACCATTGTGGTTCAGTATTGACCTCAGGTCACTGACACCTTTCTGAAGCAGAATACAGTTACAACAGTATTCTCCACTGTCATGCAGCACTAAATGGAAGTTTGAATCATTTTATTATTATGCTTTTGTGGCCAAAACTATTGCAAATGTAAATAATACATTTGGGGTCAGAATTATACTGTTTTTAACTCTGTTAAAATAGATATCATTGAAGGAAAAGAGGAAAAACAAGTATATATTCAGGTGTATATTCAATATATCTTCATATATTCATCCTCTCTGGACCCTTTGAGGTACCACTGGGGTTCCACACTGGGAAACCCCTGCTACAGGCTACTCCCTGGAACTCAAGTCAAGTTTCCTTAGATTGCAGGTAGGTATACATCTACAAGAAAAGAGTTAAACATTTCAAAAACTAAATGAGCAAAGGATAAAGCCCTACTGTGTGAACTTCACAGTGGCTCCAACAGCCAAAAGTGCTTCTTCTTTACACTGTAGCAACAATGTCTCTGATACAGCAGACAAACCTACCTACCCCTTCACACTACACTGCAGGGCCATTATAGGCTCATTAACACAAAAACACCGATGTACATGTGAAGAAAGAGAGAAGAGCAAGATGAATTTGGTGTTATTTGACACCAGTGTCTCAGAGCAGTGGACTCAGTCAAACTATCAGCCACTATTACAACAAAAGCAGAGGAGAACGTACCGTAAAAGAAGCCCCGGCGAATACCGCTGTTATCTCCTCGTCAAATATGTATTTTAATCCGACAGAAGCAGCGGAGCTCTCCCTTTTTCCCAGTCGAACCTCCGTCCGGTGGTTGTTCTCTTTCCGCTGTTTTTTTTCTCCTCTAGTCTGGATGGAAAACGTCGTCCTCACTGAGGAGAGAAAATGGGCGGGTCTCGAACGTTCGGATAAGCCGTCCGACCAATCACCGGCCTATATGACAAGATCTACTGCTTTGAGCCAATCAGGTTCCGCTTCCAACACAGAGCCGTGCGCTCATTGGTCGGCTGAGTAAAGACCTCCCAGTTGAAATTACTACAGCGCCGGGAGAGGAGCTGCTGGAATGCAACCGCCTGTATCACTTCACCTTCATCACTTTCTTCTTTTCTTTTTAGGTTAGTTGCTCTCTTATTACAGTATTCTTGTCTTGACTCATTAGTCCATTTGTGTAGTGCTATTTCGACTTTATGAAATCACCATTTTCTGGGATGATTATTATTTATTTGAAGTTAACTTTGTGAACTATAAACTGTCAACTGTATTACTAATACGCTATCAATACTCTGAAAATGTCATTGGTTTAAAAACGGTTTATTGTATTGATCTTTCTGCTGTTCTCCTTCATTAAAGGGGCCATCTCTCAACCTCGTCCTGCATTAGAAAAGTACACAGTAAAAACAACCAAAGTGCCAAAACGGTTAAATTTAGTATGTATTATTGTTAAAAAGTAATCCTCAAAAATTTGTGTAAAAAGTTAAAATATCAGGAAAACCCAACATTTGCAGGAAATAATCTGCTCAAAATTCATCCAAATCTCTAATTTCACACAAACTTCCTGCAGTTATTGTGTTCATTGTTTGGGTTCGTTGTACAGTTTATCAGCTGTTCTCTACTGTTAGTGTTATCCACTGAATATAATATGAAATATCCATAAAATATGTCACTGAGTCAGTTTACTCAATTATAGACTCCCTTAAGGAAAAGGGTTGGGAATCACATAATGTACATCCATTCAATATATTTATTATTTGTTTTGTTAACAACTTACAGAAACACATGACTTGTGTGTAGACATTTTATTCATGTTGTTGGTGATTGGTGCTTTATATATACACCGATCAACCGATCACCCTGGTGGTCAGAATGTTCTGCAGCCCCATACCAACAAACTGCTCTGCACTGTGTTCTGACCCCTTTCTATCAGAACCAGCATTAACTGTTTCTGCAGTTTGAGCTCCAGTAGCTCGTCTGTTGGATCGGACCACACGGGCCAGCCTTCACTCCCCACGTGCATCAGTGAGCCTTGCCCCCCCATGACCCTGTCTCTGGTTTACTGTTTTTCCTTCCTTGGAGCACTTTTGATAGGTACTGACCTCTGCAGACCGGGAACACTCCACAAGAGCTGCAGGTTTGGAGATGCTCTGACCCAGTCGTCTAGCTATCACAATGTGGCCCTTGTCAAAGTCACTCAAATCCTCACGCTGCCCATTTTTGTTCACTTGCTGCCTGATATATCCCACCCACTGACTGGAGCCATGATAATCAGATAATCAGTGTAATTCACTTCACCTGTCAGCGGTCACAATGTTATGACTGATTGGTGTACATGGATAAATACACCTATTCTATCACATACTATTGTTCCTAATAGTCCTGTCTATTATTTACCTTTATTTGTTCACTTTTGTTGTTCTTGCTCTTTGCTGTTAAGTCAAATCCTGTGATTACGAGCAATGACAAAAACACATTTAAAGTCCTTGTGTGTGTACACATACTTGGCCAGTAAAGCTGACCCTGATTACACATCAGTCCTTAAAATATTTTCATCACACTTTCCAAAGGTCCAAGGTGATGTCTTCAGATGTCTTGTTTTGTCAGATCAACAGTCCAAATCTCAACAAGACAAGCAGCACATTCTCATAGTGTAGAGCCAGAACTGAATAATATTTTCCATTTTAACTTCAAACATGACAAAATAGTTACAGATACATTTTCTGTCAATTGACACACACACTATTTTTAGCATTTCTTGTTGGGAAAATAAGGGATGTCCCAGTCAGTTTTTTGATCATTTAATATTGAGTATCTACTGTTCTGTATCTGATTATATCTAACTATATCTTTCATCATGTTTCCCTAATAAACAGCATGTGCACACTGTTAAATTAAAAACAATAAATCAATCTGAATAGCCTGTATGTTCGACTGCAGAGCAGCCCCATAATAGATGCACATTAGGCCACAGACCCCCAATTCGAGAGGCTTGTAAAAGTTCAAATATTCTATTCCTCCTTTTGCTGGGGACACCCAACAACCCACTGAAGGACCCCTGTTAGAAAACCACTGGTGAAGCAAGCTGTAGGGTGTAAGCTGTAAACTGTTAGGGGGGCTTTTACATGACTGTGCTGTTTCCAGGGGCCCATTGTCTTATAATCTGTCAATAATTAAACAGCTTTTACAGTGTAAAGATATATGCCATAAAAAGCCTTAATATGTCAGTTACCTATGAAAGTTAGAGTGACGCAACATGCAGTTGATCAGCACAGATAAGTGCTAAACTAAAAACAACACATCAGCTAAGTCGCATTAGATTTGATCAGCTATGACAAAAGTTTGACAAACACATGAGAAAGCACAACACTGGCACCCTCTGGTGGAAAGCTGAGGACCCTGGTTGAACCTAAAGGGGTTGGTAAATGGGAGGAATGTGTTTCACAGCCCTAGAAAACCCACTATAGGTCAGAAGAAAATCACCATATGAGACAATTATCAAATAAGACTTCACAATCCAACTGGTAATTCCCATTGAAGATAAAAAAGAATATCCTTTACTGAAAAATGAACTCACACTAACGCAACTACTGATAGTTTTCATTATCAATTAATCTGCAGATTATTTATTAATCATTAAATATTTTTTTCTAAATAAAATGTTTAAGGAAATGTCAGTAACAATTTCCTAAAGCCAATGTGCAGTCTTTAAAGCTGTAGTAGGTAACTTTTTGTCATATTTGTTGAAACTTTCATTATATCCTGACAGTAGTACATGAGACAGATAATGTGTGAAACAATCAGGTTCCTCTGGCTCCTCCTAGTGCTCCTGGTGGTATTTGCAAGAAGTGTTACCCAAAACTCATATAATTACAGTCTTAATTCAAGGCTGGATTTTAACAACAGGAAACTCTTTAAGACAGCCTCAAGATCAGGCAATAAAGCAGGACATACTCTAAGGCCCATACCATGTCAACTGATATTGTCCTTTCATATCAGTGAAACTTCAGTTTCTCCTACAGACTTTGAAGGATGAGCTGTATTCAGTTGGTTTCAATGTGCAACTTCTCAGCTAGGTACCACTGAATGCTACACACTGGTACTTTAAAGCACAGAGTAGAAGTCTCACAATGAGAATCACAGAATTATGTGTAAATGTGCACAAATATATGGTCTGCAAATGCTATTTACACAGGCTCCCCAGCAGCCAGCACCTGGGTCCTTCAGCGAGGAACTGAATTCCCCTCACCGACAGCTGAAGTGAATCTTCGCCGACTTCTTTTGGCTCTGACTCAAATGGGATGGGTCAGCTCTTTGTTATCTGTGTTGTGTATCAGTTACCCAGAAAGCTTAATGAGAAAATAGAGCCAGCAACTTATTGTACTCCACACCAGAATTGATAGCACCTCAGGTTTCTGCTTATTGAGTGTGTTAAGTGCATTGGCAAACATCAAAATTTAAACTAGTAATAGTGATTTCTTAACTGTTCAGTATGGCAGGCCTTCGGCATTCTAAACATAAACCAAAGTCATACAGGGAGCAACTTTTCCAGCTCTCTAAAAAAAACTGTTTCCTTTACTGTTACATGATGAAAAAATGAATCCCCATTAGAACGTGCTGTGTGATCCTATATTCTTTTGTTATTGTGTACACGGTGTAAGCGAAAAGTGATGACAAGCCTAAGGCCCAAGTAGAAGTAAGATCCACTATTTGGTACACGTTTCAAGTACTAATGCAGTGATCGACCTATTAAAGGACCAGTGTGTAGGCTTCCAAAGAGAAACTGTAGTGGTTGTGAAACCCTATCTAAGGCCAGTGTGTGATTTGTCCGCGTGTTCTATGTAGGACTATTCAAAATGTTCATTTCTATTTGCGAGCAGCATGGGAATTTTAGTCACCTCACAATGACACTCAACGTTAAATGTTGCAAGAAGATGATTTTAATTGGATGAATTGCCCTTGATACTGGGAAGTAAGTCGTTTTTGTAGTTGTTGTTGTTGTTGTTGTTGGGACTGGGTATCAAGTGGCTGTTCTTGTTTTCCCTGTCTCTGACGTCCCGGAAAAAGCTCCCGGATTTTTCCTGTTGGTTTTGACTTTTAGTTGCATCAAGCTGGTCACATTGCTACCATAATTACGAGGGTGCTACCTTCAAATTAAAAGCGGAAAGAAAAATGTCAATAGCATATGCGGAGGGACATTTGACGGGGTATGCTGCAGTTTGTGTGATTATGTATATTTTTGTAAAATTAATCAATATTATACCTAATTTCAGCGGAAGTACATCAGATAAGTACAACACCTACTCCAGAAGCAAGCAAGATTAACGCCTATCTATTATTATGGTGATGATAATTATTATTAATGTAAAAATGTGTAAAATCAATGGTAAAGAGCAGTGAAACCGTGGAGAAAAACTCTCTTCTGTAGCTAACCAATACAGGAAACAGACACCCAATGAGGTAAAAATGAGTGTAATAACAATGTTTAGGAAGACTGGACAACAAACGTATTTGTAAATCGTTATATAAATGATGGTAGAACACAACTGATTAAATATTTTATTTTGAAAAGAGTTAACCGGACGTTTGACTTGTTACCTGACAGTCCAAGCTAGCTTGATAACAGTGTCCTGCTTCTATCCACAGTGAAAACACACAGGTAAACGCTCGAGCTATTACACAAACATATCGCACACACTGCTTTTGTACCGTGTTTACAGAATTTAAACGCAGTGAGGAAGCTGCCACTATCAGCCTGAGCGCCTAGCTTGCACACTCACTATCACACATTTGTTATTTGCCGAAGTAAAGTTCACTTGTAGGCTAGCCACCAACTAGCTGTTAGCACAGGATTAGCCCTGCTAACAATAGCAAACCAACGTTAGCTGTGCTTTATAGTTCCACGGCTAACTAGTGTTAATTAACCAGCTGCGCTCTTTGCTATCCGTGTTACCTTGGATAGCGGTATGTCTGAATAGATACACTGCAACTGTTAACGGTAGTAGGAATACATAACGAAATGTAGGCTGTGCGTTTAGCTAAGAAGCTAACATGACCAGGAACTGTACCCGCCGTTCTGTCCTGGTGGAACGTCACACCAGATTTCCTTTACAGTCTTTAAGCTTTACGGTTACCTTGTTCATCTGCGAAACCACAGTTCTGATAGCACTATTCCTAAAACATTTCTACTCGTAAAATAAGGCGTCTTTCAGTTCGGCTCAGTGATTCTACTTTAATTGGAGCGCATTTCTGTATTTCTTTCAACTTTTTGAAGTTGGTCAACGTTACCTAACCAACGTTACTTACTGTCACCGATAAGTCCGTCAAGTAACGTTAACGTTTAGTTAAACATTCTACGTTGTGCTTTACACACATGCTGAATATTTTTAAGAGATAGAAGTTAACGTTTCAGAACGCTGTTTCGTTTTCTTAAAGAAGAACGTCATAAAGTTTTGTTAATTTTGAGTGAACAACGCGTAAGTTAGCAACGCAGCTAGCCGCTAGGTTCCATGTTCTGCGGGGTTGTCAGTGGTTGTACAGGAAACTGCTGCGAAGTTAGCTTTGACATTACTAACGTTAGACCTGTTGGGGATCTGGTCTGTTCCACTCCGCGGTCTATATTAAATTCAGCGATCACTACAATCACCTTCCTCATCAGCAACACTTAACTTACATAACGTAATGCTAGTGACAGGCTGCTGTAACGTTAAGTTAACACTGTTTCCTATTGTTAGATTAACGTTACATCATTCACAGCAATTAGCCGACAAGGTAAACTGGCTAGATTGTCAACTTGTAAGTTATCTGTATTTTGTGTCACTCCGTTGTCGTAACGGTGTGTAGCTTTAGCAGAGTGTGAAACGTGATCTTCATCCTTTTGGAATCCTTTACTGAGACTGTGGGTGTGAGGTTGCTAAGCTAACAGCTAACTGGTTACGTACAGGGATGGAGAAGTAAAGTGGTGTTTGTAGGCCTGAGACGACTGACAAGGCTGCTCCTGTCGCTGTTGTACACACGTGGTTGACTTCTGCTGTCCGCTGTTGTTTGAGTCTTGTTACATTATTAATAGCATACTAACGCCACGAGCCTTTCTCTCAATCTGGGTTTGTCACATGGCAACTGCAGAAGCACAGCAAATGTTCAGGGGAGTTGTATTTCTGACCCTGACAGTGCAGGCATGGCTGACCAATGGGAATATGCTCGTGCTGTTAGCACATCAGCACAGAGGTTCTGTCATCAAGTCTTTGTTTCCATACAATTTATTTGGCCATGCCTGAGAGAAACACTGCATAGTTTGTTTCTTTTTAATATTTGGCATGCTTCTAAAGACAGTTCAATACACAAGTAACAGATACATTTGTAATACAAAACGCAAATTCAAAATTGATTTGATAGGATTTAATTCAGCTGTAATAAAGGATTTAAAGTTTTTATCGCGTTATTAAAATAAATAAATAATTTCTTCAAGCTTTATTTTAGACACATGCACAGTGTTGCATAGTTTTTAATTATACCAATTTGGGAAATGAAACTTAATATTCCAGCCTAAATTGCCTGATTTCAGGGCAGTTTTTCTGAAAAATTGCAATACATGTTGTGATGTTTTTAGGCATGTTTAGCAATGAAATCGCCTGAGAAGGTACAAGTTGCAAAAAAGTGAATATTTTTTTGTATAGTTCATCAAAAATTCAAACTTGTTCCAGTGAAAATAAAAAAGCACAGTTTGTAGTATTCCAAGTAACCTTACCAAACTTACTAAAGGGGTTCAGGATTATGAGGGTAAATGTAAAAATTCAGCTGGTATTATAAAGTCTGAGACCCAAACCTGACCTGACATCTGAAGCTACATTTCCATCTATTACCAATGTATTATTTAAACAGAATTTCTGAAACGCATTTCATTGTCTAGTACCTGAAGCAGCGCCGTCCGACCCCCATTACTCATTACGAGATACAAGTATTTGATCATGGAACAATCTCATTTATTTTTTTCTAACAATTCTGGTTTTCTATGAATTTCTAGCTTTTGTGATCAGCACTAATGGAGACAGCAGGAGTTTGTGAGATTGATGTGGCCACCAGAAGAATAGTGGGAGGCAGCGATTCTCCACCCGATCTGGACAGCCCAAGTCAGGTAAACACTATCAGCATGTGTTTTTGTGTGTGTGGGGTTTTGTGGATTTTCTCTTTGTCATTAATTTTGAAAGAGCTGTCCAGTGAGATGTTCCAGCTGCTTTGTATTCACGTGTGTGTGTGTGTGTGTGTGTGTGTGTGTGTGTGTGTGTTATCAGGAGGAGGTTGCAGAGTTTGGTTTGGGGTTGTGCGCTGAGGAGAGGGGGGAAACTCCAGGCAGAGAGGACAGTCCCAGCGACCTGGGAGAGGCAGAGCTCGATCCCGGAGGAGACTCCAAATCTGGAGAGGACAAGGCTTTGGGTAGGAACATTACTAGGGACACCATTATATAAATGTGATGACAGTTTTACATCAGTCAGTTTCTGGTATTAATCAGCAACCAAGTCACATTTCTGTCTTACCAAGTCAGATCTGTTCACATTCACTGCACAAAATGTATCTCTTAAAAGCCATTACAACAGATGGATGAAGCTCACAATAATACATATTCCATATCTGAAAAAGGCTACAGTGTAGACAGATAGCACATTGAGCATAAAAGCCATGGGGCCTCTCATGTGCAAAAACAAAGCTAAAAAAGCCTCCCAAGGTCCTAATTGAAGACGTTTGCACCCCGCTGTAAAAGCCCCTGAGGATGTAATTGAGGACTTTCTGCATCTGTCCATTCTGGAAGAGCAACGGCCAATGGGGAAACACTTGACACTTGTGTTGTTATGACGGGCCCCGCTTTTCTGCAGTCCGGCCAAAAAAGACAAGTTATTTTACCTAAATAGTTGACATACCTAGCTACTTCATTAAGTAAGTGGGTGGGTGAAGTTGTCTTTATGTACATTTAATTTTTTTTAACAATGTAAATATAAAATGTAAAATTCTCACTGGGAGAACACTGCTCGGAATAATGTTCCCAGTATGCCTAGTGGTAATTTGTTTAAATCAGCAATGGTTAGGTTCTCTCTTCAATACTATTAACTGTTTCCACTGACGGTTGTATGGGTATGACATTTAACAAGTTAACAGTTCAGTTTATACAGTGTGCAACATTTTTCACAATATTCTGCAGTCATTAGAGGTCAGTGGTACAAGACAATGTCCATAACTTTAGAAGAGGAATTCATGTTGTCTCTGCATTAATGTATTGTCAGAGGCAGGGTTATTTATTTTACCATTTTAGTGTAGCAGCAACATCCAAGGTAGCAGGAAATGTTGGTTTCTGCTTCAATTAATACTTAGTTAGTTTGAAGTATTGTACACATCTAAAATGCATCACTTCTCTAAGAACGCACGTTAGTTGTCATGTCCAACCCATACCAGGTGTGGAATAGTATTAAATCACGGTTGTTTAGCATCAATCAGCAATTCAGAATACTTAAACCATCATTATCTGTGGTGATAGAAGTTGCTCATTCGTCTTGAATGAATTGTCTACCAGTGCTATACAGCGATTCAGTCGTTATGATTTAATTGTGCTTTATGTTCCAGGGAAAGAAGTGGTTCTTTTAATGCAGGCCCTGAACTCCCTAGCCACTCCTGAGGAGAAGCTGGCCGCTCTGTGCAAGAAATATGCAGACCTGGTAAGATCAAAAAGTGAATACCGTATGTTCATTTGAACAGCCGGACTTCAGTTCAGTCTACATCTCAGTTCTGTTCAGCAATCCACTTCAGTCTGGTGGTGTGCTTGCTGTCTCCTGGGTTGGAGAAATAGCAGAGCCAATCAGAGCAATGGGCCATCAGTGTCATGTACCCAGTCTGAAAAATGGCAACAAGTGTGTATGAGTCAGGTTTTTTTTTAAGATTTTGGAAGTCAACTTATGTCGCCATTTCTTCGTTCATCATGACAAACACTGTTTTTAAAATATTTTTACTAGACATCAATTACAAAATAAGCATTAATCAGACATCTTTCTTGCAATTAAATAACTGAAAAACGGTGTAATATTTGACATCGCAAAAATAATAAAGCAATTATAAAACATATCTAATTTTATCCCTCCATCAATTATACAGCAATAATTATTTGATCCCTTGCTGATTTTGTAGGTTTGCCCACTTACAAAGAATGGAACTGTGTATAATTTTAATCATAGCTACATTTTAATATTGAGAGACAGAATATCAAAAAATCCAGAACAACAACATCGTACAAATTCTATATATTTATTATCATATTTTCACATTAAATAAGTATTTGATCCATAGAACAATTGGACTTAATACGTGGTGGAGAAACCTTTGTTGGCAAACACAGAGGTCAGACATTTGTTGTAGTTTTTCACCAGGTTTGCACAGATCTTGGGAGGGATTTGGTCCACTCCTCTTTGCAGATCCTCTCCAAATCCTTAAGGTTCCGAGGCTGTCGCTTGGCAACTCGAAGCTTCAGCTCCCTCCACAGATTTTCAATGGGTTTTAGGTCTGGAGACTGGCTGACTCCAGGACCCTAATATGCTTCTTTTTGAGCCACTCCTTTGTTGCCTTGGCCGTATGTTTTGTATGGTCATTGTCATGTTGGAAGACTGAGGGAAGGAGGTTGTCGCCCAAAATTTCCCAGTACATGGCCCCATTCATCCTCCCCTCCATACGGTGAAGTCTTCCTGTCCCCTTAGCTGAGAAACACCCCCAAAGCATAAGGTTTCCACCTCCATGCTTCACAGTGGGGATGGTGTTCTTAAGGTTTTACTCAGCATTTCTCTTCCTCCAAACACGGCGAGTCGAGTTGATGCCAAATAGCTCTATTTTGGTGTCATCTGACCACATCACCTTCTCCCAAGCCTCCTCCGGATCATCCAGGTGTTCTTTGGCAAACTTTAGACGGGCCTGTGCATGTGCCTTCTTCAGCAGAGGAACCTTGCACATGCAGCAGGATTCTAATCCTTCACGGTGTAGTGTGGTACTGATGGTTCTCTTCGTGACTGTGGTCCCAACTGCCTTCAGGTCATTAACAAGCTCCTCCTGTGTAGTACTGGGCTGATCCCTGACCTTTCTCAAGATCATTTATATCCCACGAGGGAGATTGGCAGTGACTTTGTGTTTCTTCCATTTTCTAATAATTGCTCCAACAGTCTTCTCACCAAGCTGCTTGCTTATTTTCTTGTAGCCCATCCCAGCCTTGTGCAGGTCTACAATTTTGTCCCTGATGTCCTTAGGCAGCTCCTTTGTCTTGCCCATGGTGGAAATGTTGGAATGTAATTGATTGTGTGGACAGGTGTCTTTAATACAGCTGCATAACAATGTAACAAGTTGACACAGGTGTTTTAGGTAATGAGTTGAGATTAGGAGTGCTTCTTAATGGAAAACTAACTGGTCTGTGGGAGCCAGAATTATTGCTGGTTGGTAGGGGATCAAATACTTATTTCATGCGAAAATATGTTAATAAATGTACAAAATTTGTACGATGTTGTTGTTTTGGATTTTTTTGTGATATTCTGTCTCTCAATGTTAAAATGTACCTATGGTTAAAATTATACACAGTTCCATTCTTTGTAAGTGGGCAAACCTACAAAATCAGCAAGGGATCAAGTAATTATTGCTCCCACTATAACTCCCAGGCTTTTGTCACAGTTATTTAAATCAGGTGAGTGAGGGGCCTTTTCACAGGTCCACTTTAGAAATGGTTCCCAAAACTAAACGCTAAAATGTTTGACTATCAATATCACAGAGGGTATAGCATATATCCAAATTAAATCCTCAAAAATTAATTCTATGAATAAATATTAGATAATGTTTTTAAACAGCAGTCTTTAACATCTCCCAGTAACTGCTCCAGCAGTGTAGACTGAAAACAGCTGACAAATTGGCGGTTCATTCAGATTAAGTTTGGCTATCTGGGTAGGATAAAAGTGTATTTAACATAGATTTTCCTTTTGACTAATTATGCGACTTCCAGTGATGATTTGTGTGTCAGCTTTAAATGGCCTGGACTCCCTATTAGTCAGCAGAACTGAGGCGGGCTCTTGGATGAGTTGCCAAACGTCCTCAAGTCTAAAATATTTCAGTCCATTGTGTCAAACGTTTTGTCTGCATGTGTAGAAAATATTTTTTTCATTTTGACATTGAATGGAAAACTGCACTTTAACAACTGGTTTTATTGTGTAGCTTCTGCCAAAAAGCCACAGTGGTTGCGGTTGGGTATCTTTTATAGGAACTGTACATGAACTAAGACTGCTACTTACTACTGTTTTCAGATAATCTGTGGTTTACTTTCTTAATTAATTGTTTGGGCAATAAAATGTCAGAAAAACTTTCCTAAAATCCAAGTTCACACCTTCAGCTTGTTTTGTCTGACCAATGATCTAAAGCCTAAAGATGCTCAGATTACTATCATTAAACACTAAAGGAAGCAGAAATTATTCACATACATATTTTTTTAAATCAGTAATTATAATGTATTTCCTGTTGATCGGCTGATTGTTTCAGCTCTAACATGCACCATGGTTATCTATGTCTGTCCTGAGATCAGCAAGTAAAGAATGAACAAAAAGAATAAATGTGTATGTGTCTGTATGTGTATCTTTTTAACAAACATCCTCCCCAAATGTGTCATGCTTACATGTGGACACAGACTTTTTGGTTCCAGTTTTGAAATGCCAATTACATGTACTATTAATAGGCCGTACTTTATTTATGTATTCAAGTTCAACCATAACGTTTTATCTTGTTTATTTTGTTTAGTTGGAGGAGAGTCGCTGCATGCAGAAGCGACTGAAGGCTCTGCAGAAGAAGCAGTCTCAGATCGTAAAGGAGAAGATCCACCTGCAGGGGGAGCACAGCAAGGCCATCCTGGCCCGCAGCAAGCTGGAGAGCCTCTGTAGGGAGCTGCAGAGACACAACAAGACACTGAAGGTACACCTACTGTAGCTGGATCCATCAGTGTTGTTTTTATCTTCTGTCTTCGCTTGACAATAACCAGCAGCTGTGGCTGTCATAACCTGTTGTGATTTAATTTTCCTCGTATCAATGCACCTCAATCGATGTCTATCTGACTTAGACCTTTAGCTATGTGACTATAGTGAGAGACCACAAACTCCCACTGAAGGTACCCAGAATGGTGAAACAGACTCACAGAAAGCAAAGAGAATTGACTGATTCACTCCACGTGCAAGATTTATTTGCGTCAACACAGGATACAAGCAAACCGAGTTGTCTCGAGAATCAACTGACTTGAACAAAGAAAATCAGTCTCACAATCACAAACCACAAAAACATAAACTTTGATAAATTTCTCCAGTTTCTCCAGTGCTTCTCTGATGTCATTTGTTTCCAGTGTGAATAGCAGATTTCCCTCCCCTTTGTTAAACTCCTTGTTGACCTCCTCTCACTCCCACACCTGCCACCTGACAGGAGGAGAACGCTCAGCGCTCTAGGGAGTACGAGGAGCAGCGGAAGGAGGCCATGCTGCACTTCCAGATGACCTTGAGCGACATCGAGGTGCAGATGGAGCAGCACAGCTCCCACAACACCAAGCTGAGGCAGGAGAACATGGAGCTGGCTGAGAAGCTCAAGAAGCTCATTGAGCAGTACGAGCTCCGAGAGGAGGTGAGACTGCTCAAAAGTACCTCTACAGGGTTTCCCCCAGAAAACTTGCTAAGCTAATTCATGACGTAGTAGAATTTAGAGTGGTTCCATACTGCCTTGCATTAAATCAATGTTAAAAGTTGACTGGAAATTTGAAAAAATGACTGTAATAATCAATGTAATCATGTGTTATTATAAGACATTTATTGACAATATTTAAGCACCAACTATAGTCTCACAAAAGCACCACTCTTGAAGTACTGTTCAACACCAATGTTTTAATACAAAAAATACAATTGGGTCCACCAACCAATACTGATTAAATCCGCTGGTTCTATGTTTCCCATCGCGGCACGGAGAAGGTTGTTCTGCCACTGCAGCGGACGACGAGCTAACATCCATGCTAGCTACCTCATTGACCCGTGGCTCAGCCAACGTCGCGCCACTGCACTCCTGGTCAACAGGTGAACCAGCGGGTTCAACGTCTCCACCTTTGTTCGTCCGACAGCGTTTTTTGGCCTTTTCTTTGTGACATCCCGTTATGTTCAATCACAAGTAGCCTAGTTTGCGTGTAGTGACAGGGGCAGTGGTTTGTGGGGTGTTAGGTGCTGAAAAAGACACCTGACCTCAGACCCGCCATGTGTTCACGTGTTGACCATAAGATGCGCTTTCAACTTTGTTACTGATGTATACAAACCTATTTTGAATAAATAAATAAATAAATGAACAATGCTTAGCCTGGCAGAGCCAGGCTTGAATTTCACTTAATATTGCTCTACCCGGATTGTTGTAAACAAGTTTCTTGACGTATCATTTCAGTCCTACTCTAAGGGTGTTTTCACACCTGTAGTTCGTTTGCTCGGGTCCGAATCAGGGACCAACTTGTTACAATGTTGCATGTGGCCTCGAGTTTGGTTTGTGTTCACACGGCAGCATTTACAAGAGGACCAAAATGTGTGATGCGCGAGGAAACTGCTCTCTAATTGGTCAGGATTTCCATGCAGGAAAACTCCCGGAAGTAAACAAAGAAGAGCAGACTCCAGAGCGCCACTTTTCAATTTTACAATGGAGGGACAACTACACGGGTTGCTCTTGGCCCTGGTCATCGTGTATTACATAGTTTGCACTTATCACTGTAGGCAAACGGTACAGTTTGAAAATGAGGCGAGGCTGGAAAATAATGTCATGATTCACTGGAGTCGCCAACGACGCATATCAAGCCAGTTCAGGCAGAGGCGCGCATTAATCCTCCTGAACTGTCACATGCTCATCAGCCGAAAATATTTCCGAAAGATCCATCGGGTAACATTACGCCCGTGGTCTTCAACACAGTATGCACAGTGGAGCTGGCTACGGGAGGTGGTTTAGTCCAAAACAGGCGCAATGCTTCTTGCAGTTGGGTCGGATTGAGGTTGGATCATGTTCTCACCACAAACGAACCGTACCAGAGTTTGTTTGGAACCAGACCAAGACCACCTCTTCAACAAGGTCTTGGTCTGGTTGTTTTGGTCCACACCTGAGTGCGATTGATGTGTTCACACCTTCCCAAACGAACTGCACCAAGGGGGTTAACGCTCCAGGGTTCGATTCAACTAAACAAGGCAGGTGTGAAAAGGCCCTAAGATTCCTAAACATTAGGGCTGGGTTGTGTGTTTGTTTGAATTGAAGATTTGTAGCTACTGTTTTACTGTGAAACCGCTGGAGGCCTTCAATCACTCACTGGTGTTAATTAAAAGGCCAATATCTGCAAGGGAAATAAGATAAAAGAGGTTCAAAGGAGAAGTCTGTGGGTGATAAAAGTTGCTCACAGCAGAGCACACCACTGGCTGTCCAACCTAGTGTAACTCTGATGTGTCCCTCTGGCAGCACATAGACAAGGTGTTCAAGCACAAGGAGCTGCAGCAGCAGCTGATGGATGCCAAGCTGCAGAGGATCACTGAGATGATGAGAGAAGTGGAGGAGAAGCAGCAGAGAGAGAGAGACTTTGTGAGTACATTTTCGTTCTTTTCATTGCCCCAAACAGCAGTAAGCAGCCAGTAGTAGCCAGCAGAAATACAATGTTAGGCATTAAACAGCACTGAGGATCAGTGAGAGCTGTACAACTGACTGTACTGTGATGCTTCAGCTGCTGAAAGACGCCACCGAGTCCAGGCGCAAGTGTGAGCTGATGAAGGAGCAAGAAACGCAGCTCAAACAGCAGGTCACACACACACACACACACACACACACACACACACACACACACACAGTTCAGTTCCTTGGTGGATCTGAAACACTGCACACAGTATCTTTACTAGGAACAGACTGTGTTGACCTTTGTGCACATCAACCAGCTGATGTGTTGTCTCTCCTCTTAGCTCTCCCTCTACATGGACAAGTTTGAGGAGTTTCAGAGCACCCTGGCTAAAAGCAACGAGGTCTTCACCACTTTCAGACAAGAGATGGAGAAGGTGAGCTCAGTCGGTTGCTAGTTGAACCTGTGGGTGTCTCACTAGTTTCCCTGCCAGCTGTTAACTGTCTGGATTTACCTCCAGATGACCAAGAAGATCAAGAAGCTAGAGAAAGAGACGACACAGTGGAGGACCAAATGGGAGAGTAACAACCAGGCCCTACTGCAGATGGCCGAGGAGGTGACTTTTATGATCTACACTTGTCTCTGTCTGTTCAGTTGTTTGGTAGCATGAGGAAGAGGAAAAGAATAAAAGAACAATTAGCAAGATATGCTTACTCACTGTCTTTCAGAGAGTGAAATGAAAATCCCATCTCTGTGTGTTAAATACAGAACTGGAGTCAGGACATAGTTAGCCTAGCTTAGCATAAGGACTGGAAGTGCCCTCCTGACATTTCACCAGGGTATATGTGTGAAAACACAACAACATAAAAGCAGGGCTGTTGGCAATAGAAGTCATTGTAGCATGCCGGAGCATTTGTGGTTTAGCGTCCCAGAATCATCTCCCATGATGCTACGCAACCAATCAAATCTGTGCACTGCGACTTGACTCAGTGAGTGAGATACACATAACCTGTGTGACACAGAAGTGGACAAGAGGCAGTCAGAGAAAAGTTAATTTACTGGCATGCTCTAAAGAGAAAAACGTATATGGTGACAACAGAGCATTGAATCCAGAATGAACAAACTTTTCCATTCTAAAGAGAATAAATAAAAAAACGGCTTTCAATAATTGTCATATATCGCCAGATTGAATGGCGGTTATTGAAAGCGTCAAAGCAAAATGCCACCAATGTTACAAGACAAATCACAGAGCATCTTTTCAGTAAATATACCCACTCAAATGCAACCGGTGTGCACAGAAATAAAGCATCTAACAGCCAATATGAGTGATCCACTAGAAAGACCTGTCTGTGTTTTTGACAGCATTGCAAGCAGAGATAAACAGCTAGCCAGGCTCTGGCCAATAAGACATCCTTCCCATGTAGTTTGTGTGTGTTTTGTGTCCGGTTGGCACACATGTATCACTTTTATTTATTTATTTAAAATAAAAGCAAAACAAAGCACACTTTACTGGGATGGTGAACTAAGATTTTAAGATGGGGCTGCACGAAAACATCACACTGCGATAATATAGACAGATATTGCGACTGATTCACGATTGATTCATGATTAGTGTAAAAATTATTATTTTTGCGTCACAAATGTAGTTTTCGCTGAAAAAACATAAAATCATGATGATGAAGTTTGGGGGTTTTCTTACATCTGGAGAACAAGATTTGTAGACCAGGGTGTCTCTGCAGCACTACAGTACTTCATTATTATGCTGTTTGACACACAGTTTACCTTTATCCAAGGATTTTGCTTATTGTGCAGTCCTATGGTGAACATGCTTAACATTATCTGTAAGTTCTGAGTAACCTAACACTTCATGAAAACCTTGTTTCTGCTGACCTCCAGTGGTTTGATCTCACACCTCACTGCAGTAAGCAGTCACTGTACCTACTGTACAGACGATGGCTGTACAGTAGGTACTTATCAAGGACTTATCAAATCTACTTCAAAATTGGACAGTACAATCAAAATGTTGCTGATTAAAAGTTGTGTGATTTGTAACTGTACGTTGAAGGGCATATCCATGGCGTTCCGTCAAAGTTGTCCATTTTGAATTCCGTGGTCTTGTATTTGAACGAACAAACTCCTAGGGAATTTATCAGATCTGCTTCAAAATTGGTCAGTACAGCCAAAAGACATTGCTTATTAAATATTGTACTATTTGTGCATGTACGTCAAAGGTATGGGTGTAACGGTACACACAAGTCACAGTTCGGTACGTACCTCGGTTTTGGGGACACGGTTCGGTACGGGTTCGGTACAACGGGAAAAAAAATTCACATATAAAAGACTAGCTTTTTTTCATTTATTTTGAGCAGACACCAATTGACTGCAAAATAAAAAACCATGTCCTGTTATAAAAGTAAAAAATAAATAGAATAAAACAAATGTATTAGGAGGGTTCTCATTCTGTTAATACAGAGGAAAAGATAGATTGAAGTAGTGAGGTAGCACTTCTTGCCAACTGGCAACTTTGGTAACATCATTATAAGAACGGCATATGAACATATTTGTTTATGTATATGCCAATTGCTTCTGTGATGTTTTTGGCCCTGTCAGTGTTAATGTCAAGAGGTGGCTTAAAAGCAGCGGGGATAAGTTGTTGCACCAAAGATGTTTTTTTCCCCGCACCAGTGACAGATATGTCGCGGTGATGCCGTCTTATGTGGGTTAGCATGTTTGAGGTGTTGCCCAGCAACATACCGCACCTCCGTGAAACATCGCCCGCAGAAAGTCTTTGTCCGGTCCACCACTCGCATGCCATCACCACTATATTGTACTGGGAAGTCAAAGTGCTCCCAAACAGCTGATTTAAATGAAGCTGGCGGCTCCTCCAACTCCACACTTTCCATAACTTTTCTTCTTCGTCCTTTTTTGTAACTACTTCTTCTTCTTCTGTAATGACTGTTTCGGGCAGCTTTTAGGCTCATTACCGCCACCTGGATTAAAGTGAGGACTCGACTTTTTTTTAAAACTCACTCAGACGTATTTGTCGTATGAATGAGTGCACCGAACCGTGACGCCCGTACCGTGACGGTTCGGGACGAAAACAAATACCGTTACACCCCTATTTAAAGGGTGTGTCCGTGGCGTAGTATCAAAGTCAGCCATTTTTAATGTTTTGTCATTTTCTGTGATTTCTCGTGTTGTATTTGAACAAACTCCTCCCAGGGAATTTATCGGATCTGCTTCAAAATTGGTCAGTACAGTCAACATATGTTGCTGATTAAAAGTTGTGCTATTTGTGACAGTACGTTGAAGGGCGTGTCCGTGGTGTGGCGTTGAAGTCAGCCATTTAAATTTTTTTTTTTTTTAAGTCAAGTTCTACTTTTAGAGACTATAGGAACCACAAGTAGCCCAGCATTCAGAGAACGTAGTGTTCTAGTGGGGTAATAGGGTACTATGAGCTCTTTAAGATATGAAGGGGCCTGACCATGAAGAGCTTTATAGGTGAGGAGGAGGATTTTAAATTCAATTCTACATTTTATAGGGAGCCAATGCAGAGTAGCTAGTACAGGAGAGATGTGATCTCTTTTTCTAGTTCCTGTCAGTACTCGTGCTGCAGCGTTCTGAATTAATTGGAGCGTTTTAATGGACTTATTGGGGCAACCTGATAATAAAGAGTTGCAGTAATCCAGCCTTGAAGTAACAAATGCATGGATTAGTTTTTCTGCATCTGTCTGTGATAGGATGTGTCTAATTTTTCTAATATTACGTAAATGAAAGAAGGCAGTCCTAGAGGTCTGCTTTATGTGGGAGTTAAATGACAAATCCTGATCAAAGATAACTCCAAGATTCCTGACAGTGGTGCTAGAGGCCAAGTTAATGCCATCTAGAGTGACTATATCTTTAGACAATGAGTCTCTAAGGTTTTTGGGGCCAAGAACAAGAATTTCGTTTTTTTCTGAGTTTAACATCAGAAAATTGCAGGTCATCCAGGATTTTATGTCCTTCAGACATGTTTGTAATTTAGATAATTGATTAATTTCATCAGCCTTGATTGATAAATACAACTGCGTATCATCTGCATAACAGTGAAAGTTAATGGAGTGATTCCTAATAATGTTGCCTAAAGGGAGCATATATAAAGTAAATAGTATTGGTCCAAGTACAGAACCTTGTGGAACTCCATGACTAACTTTAGTATTTATGGAGGATTCATCGTTAACATGTACAAACTGAGAACGATCTGATAAGTATGACTTAAACCAGGTTAGGGCAGTTCCTTTAATGCCAATTTGATGCTCAAGTCTCTGTAAAAGAATATCATGGTCAATGGTGTCAAATGCAGCACTAAGATCTAATAATACAAGTACAGAGACAAGTCCATTGTCAGAAGCAGTCAGAAGGTCATTATTAACTTTAACCAGAGCTGTCTCTGTGCTATGATGAACTCTAAATCCTGACTGAAAATCCTCAAATAAACTATTGTTATGTAGAAAGTCACACAACTCTTTGGCGACTACTTTCTCCAGAATCTTAGAGAGGAACGGGAGGTTAGAAATCGGTCTATAGTTGGCTAAAACCCCTGGGTCAAGAGTAGACTTTTTAAGAAGGGGTTTTAGTATCTGTCAATTCTGTTCTGTTTCCTTTGATTCCCTTTCTGCTAACAAAAGCATGAAACAAGGTGAAAACAAGCTTCACTCGAGGTCCACTTTATAGTCTAACTAATCTTATCTCCCAACTTTTCCCAAACTGCTGTTTCCAAGATAAAAAGCGCACTTGATGAAACAATGTGTTGTGTTGTAGAAAACTCTGCGTGACGGACACTTCAAGGCCCTGCAGGGGAAGCTGGAGCTGCTGGAGAGGCTGTGCAGAGCCCTGCAGAAGGAGAGGAACGACCTCAACAACCGGCTCAGTCTCCTCCAGGAGCAGGGAGACAAAGAGACCGCGGCACCTCCCTCAGCCCAGCTGCGGGACCCCTCAGCCGGGGAGGAAGACGAGGAAGAGGACGAGGAGGATGGGGAGGGGGAAGGAGAAGTCGAGGAGGGCAGAGAGTCAGAGGGCATCCACCAAGCTCCCAGACCACCCGAACTGGACCCCACGCAGGCTGCTACTGACAAAACCACTACTGCTACGACGACAAGCAGCCAGCCTGCAGAAACAGCAACCACACAGCAGGACTGAACTGAGTGTGTGTAGGTGAGAGGGGGGTGGTAGGAGGGCTTCACACACCTCTAGCCTGGTTCCATAACTAGCCAGAAAAACATCTTTAATGGGGATAAGTGTCTTTTTTTAATTCTAGACTTGCCTCTCCAGGTCTCTGAAACTGAACCCATATCTTTTTTGAGCGATAGTTTAAGAGTAAAATGATTGTATCAAGGATTGGATTCTAAAACGTTACCCACGTTTACATTGCTTGTAAGAATTGGCCATGTGGCGAGCACTTTGTACTCCCTGTTTTCTACCATAACTGTATTTTCATAGGGAATGTCCATGCAGTCAAATTGAGGCCGTTCATAGTCCTCACAAGGTCTGTCCCTAGTCATATGTCTGATTGCAAATTCTGGTTTTATTAATGTAGCCTCAGTCACATTGTGATCTGACAAGCTTGAAGAGGAAATGGGGCTAGTGTAGAAGAAAAACGTCTGTATTGGCCACAGGGTATTAAATATATATTTTTTGATCACATCATATCACACCGTGGATACATTATTTTCTCTATGTGCAAAATGAATTGTCAAATAGGAGTACAGGTTTGAAGCTTGGTAACTTACTGTGGGGCAGTTTGTAGCTAACCCTAACCCAGCATGCTAACAATAGCCAGCCACAGTAGCCCACCAAGCTGGATGCTTTGCTAATTGCCAGTCAGTAAGCTAGCCAGTAGGGCTGTCACTGTTTATCTAAAAAAACATGTAATCCATCCATCTGTAATCTGAATTCATTCCTCCATAGAGTGTGAATTTATAATAGCTGCGACCATGTATAACTGACATGCACGTTCATCCAGGTGTTTATGTATTCACACAAACACTCAACCTCCATGCCAGATTTCCTCCAAGAGTGAAAATTGTGGCTGCCAAAGGGTGAGGACGTTTATACGGACACACCATTAACATATAACTCCCCCTGTACAAAACTTAAGCCAATAATACCGGATACGGCCGCTTCCATCTTTTGTCACTCGGATCCAGAGTCTGTGCAGCAGTGATCCGGGTTGGCGCCGCGGTGTCAGCATCCGGCCATCTCAATCACAAGCAGGGCTTAGCTGTCAATTCTGATTAAAACCAAACTGATCAGAAAAATGCAACTTAGGTTGTCAGTCAAGTAGGGAAGCAGAGGGTCCTCCTTTAAATGAACAAATTCAATTTTAGTTTCCCTTTTACTTGAGCCCTACTAGTTAGCTTGGTTGCTAACTAGACAAAAGGTTAACCGTTTACTCTAGACATTTTTATACCACCAACTGGTGGCAGAGCAGGGTTACAGATAAAATAGTTAGCTGCAACACAGCTAATATGATAGCGTCCTTTATTTCAAACTGTAGTTTTCTGTTCCCTCAAAGGCGGTGCAAATTTACAAAACAAAGTTCAAGTTGAACTCTTAAAAAAAAAAAAAAAACCTTAAATCTGCCTGGGCCCAATGTTTGATTAAAACCAGCTCAAGAAATTGCAACTTGAACAGCAGCGGTTAGGTCTTTAGAACAAGGTTTCCCTCAGTCTGCCTGTTACAGACGTCTGGAAAGGGTTCAAGTTGAACCTCGACCACTAACTGACTGCACGCTTCTTACAGCAGCTTCAAGAGTGGGGGTTAACCACTGACTGCTGGACAGCTCTACAGGTCTCGTACGGTTTGATCTTTTGGCTTGACTGGGTAATGGCTGGTTGCAGTTTTCTCAGTTATAAATTATAATTCTTAAGATTATTTTGTATCAAACCCCATTTTTGTTGCTGTTGATTGATGACATTTTTCAATGGCTTTGCATTCTGTAATTTCCTCTCCACATAGGAGTTCATCTTTATGGAATTCCAATAATACAGTGGGGTATTAGGGCCATAGGGGTGGTGGTAGGGCTGAAACATTTTGAGAAAAGGGCCAAGATGTTTTTAGTTGACAAAAAAACATCAGAATATATTCAAGAATGAAAAAATGATATGATAATATGTTGATATGATAGGACAAAGACGCACAAGAAAAAAGTTCTACATTTATAACCAAAGGTGGTATGTAATCATTCGATTTGGTAAATTAGGTGACGATATTTTGACTTTATAATGTGATTTACTACTCCATCTTAAAACCATCTACCTGCGTGCAAGCGATTAACACACAGTGTAAGCCCAGTGTGGTGCATTTAATGGGTGAGTCAGCGGTGAGTCGTGAGTTTAGCAGAACCGTATCGGTCCTGTGGCGTAATTAGACACGCGAGTTGCTCCTGTGATCGATCTGTGTGTGATTTGAACTACACTTGCTTCAGCTACCACAGGTGGGACCAAATCAACCAGGAGTAAAATGTTAAGGATCAGAACTTTTAACTTTATACTGGAAGAAAACTGAATGTGATTTGCTTTTCTAATGTGTTTGAATAAAAGGATATTGATTTCCATCAGTGATGCATATCAACAGGAGCTATTACAGAAGAGGCAGTTATTGTATAAGGGGAAACTCGTCAGTGTGTGGAGTCCTAATGTGAATGTAGGGAATCTATCATCAGCAGGGTCAAGGTCTGGATCTTGTTTCAGATTGTGAGACGGATCATTTGGGCGTTCTGTTTGGAGGTGTAAAGACTATAATCCCCTTAAATCAAATGCCATTCACACACTTGCATCCTCTGCCTATTTTATTGTCATTCAACAGTTTTCTTTTGTGGCTTCTTTAACCCAGCTTGCTCCATTACCTGGGCCATATCTCATACTGCAGCTACTGTTAATATCCTGAATATAGCACTTAATTTTCAATATTATCCCCCTGTAATTGCTTCATCTGCATCATCAGATTTTTTATTTGGGGGTATAATTACAAGACTGATCCAAGATCAGCATCCTTTAAGAAATCATTCGCAGTGGGCGTGAGAAGTGCTTATTTAAGTGCTAAAAAAATAAAATAAACTGTTTAAAGCTGCTTTATAAAAATACCTTTTTTGTCATATCTGCTGAAACGTTCACTATATCCTGACAGTAGAACATGAGACAGATAATCTGTGAAACAATCAGGTTCCTCTGGCTCCTCCCAGTACTCCTAATGGCATTTTCAGTGTTGAGATTTCCAGGTTGTCAAATATCAACGCTGAGAATGAGACTCAATGATCAGCCATCTCTCTTGGATCTGGTTGGTTGTTTTCATTCAGGCCCAGTGGATTCTTTCAAATTCCATTAGGAGCACTAGAACAAACCAGTGGAACCTTTTTTTTAAAAAAAGATTATTTGTCTAATGGACTACTGCTGAAGAACGCTTCAGGAAATGTGACAAAAAAAAAGAAAAGAAAAAGTTAGCTACTGCAGCTTTAAGCTGTTCCAGCTCTTCAAGTGGCAGCCCTATTGTAAAGTCAGTGAGAATCAGAGGGGTGGTACTGACAAGTCATTTCCATTAAATACGTACACCCTGTGTGTGACTGGCTGTAATGTCCTAAGAGTCCAGGCCTTTCTAAACTTCTAATTGATCTTCACATTGTGGGGATATAACAACAGAATAGGGTCAAGCAGTTTGTGTGTGTGTGATTTTCTTTCCCTAGAGGACAGCTCTAGTCACGGCCCGAGCCGAGGGGAGACTTTTCACCATCTATTTCTTCTTTCTTTGGCGTTGCCCCAGATTGACTCTCAGGTAATGTCAGAATCTACCTCTGCAGGAGAGACGAACTGTGAAAGAAGAGGCATGAGTCACCATAGCTTCGGAGAGCTTTATTTTTTACTAAAAAATAATGAGCCCACCCCCCTCTTTGATTGTACAATGTTCTTATAGTCCTGTCTTACTTTTCAATAAACATTTTGTAGAATTTGCAATAACTGGATTTATTTCCTCCAAGTAATTATTGGGTCTTGTGTCATTTTCTCAGAGTGTGAGTAAAGTGGGTGGAAGATGTCATTTGTGTGCAGTTTCTCAAAATGTGTACTAATGAGATTGTTCAGCCTGACCTTGGTCACAGAAAACATTCAGATTTACATAAATGCGAAACTTAGTTTTGAAAAGTTATAAAAGTTTTATTGCAATTTGTGGTGCAGGAAACAAAACAATTTCACATTATTTAAGAACACAAAGGAGAGGAAAAAGATGTGCGTGTCCCTCAAGTGCACTAATTAAGTCCCTCACCTTCTACTCAAGCCAAATACTGAAGAGTTTGTGTACCTTATGGACAGGAGGCAAACAGCAGGGAATGTTTCTTCAAAGGTCAGCCAAGGAAGAGATTTTGCAAAAGACAGCCACGAGTAAGAAAATAAGGTATGAAAGAAGGTTTTCCTGGATATTTCCATCGTTAGGTTTCACATAGTTTGGACAGATGTACATCAGGTTTCCCAAAAGCATTTCAGTGTTCAGATAATCTTCTATTGTCTGGGTTTCCTTTCCATCTTTAGGGACGCCTACTATTCTAGTGGTTTTCTGGCTACTCAGAAGTCAAAATGTAGAATAACACTTTAATATTTTCCATGCATGAGCCCTTTTAAAATGAACTGGTCTGAATAACTTACAGTGGACCTTGTGCACATAAGGTCCCCCCCAACACTGGAGATACTACCACCTGAGCAGGTAACAATGTCAACTCTTATCCTATTCCAAGTGCTTAAGTGCTTTTGGGTACCTGGGCCATGTTGAAGTGGAAGCAGGATGAGACTGAATGCTACTGTCTGTTAGCAAGGTTGTTGTCCATGCTGTGTCCAACCCTTCACATCCACGTGGAGGGCACACTTTTCATTTTGCACTCGAGGTAAGCCAGAGAGGGAAACGACAGGCTAGGCTGGGTCTGGAGCTCAGGGAGTTGAGGAGGGGGTTGTGCCTGCACAGAGACTCATGCACAGCGGGGTTATGATCCCTGAGCCTCCAGCTCTGATGCGGGGGTGTTGTCTGGCTCCTCGTCATTGTAGATGTTCTCCGCCTGGGAGAAGAAAAGCATTAATGTACTCATAAAAAAGGAAGCATTTTATTGGACGTAAAATGAGTATATGCACCAGAGGGCAGGATGTGTCAACAACATATTATTGTTCGTCAGGAAACTAAGATACCATTAATACCACCCAAAAATGACTACCGGAAAGAAATAAGTAGGAATACATCTGTAGACCACAGACATCTGCCAATTTAACCCGGAAGTAGCTCAACAGGATCATCCATTCACTTTGACTGAGGTTGGATATTGTTGATGAAACCTGGATATAGGTTTATGGGGAGGGACTGCAGCTATCATATTCTGACTATCCCAAAAAGAAACCCTGTGTATTCACCATCTGCCAGACTTGCATGATGTTGTCCTCGGACACTGAGCAGATGACCCAGGGTTCATTGGGGTTCCAGGAGAAGTCAGAGATCTTGGCTGTGTGGCCACCGTGGATGAACTAAAGGAAAAAAGGTGTCAGTAACATTCAGAGGCAGGAACAGGAACCGTGGACGTGTTTGAACCCTACCGATGTGAAAGGTTAGTGCTTTCAAACTGACCAGTAACATTTGAGACACTGTTTACGCTGTTCTATTTTTATGCAGTCCCTGAGCAGCTAGTTGATGTGATGTATGATTAAGTTAAGACTGGCACTATGAGCTTTACAGACAGACAACCCTGATCAACAGTCTCCAATCACATTACACACACTGCTCTTCTGTGTACAAACATTTTATGCTTACTGATATAACTATGGACTCCATGAGGATTCAGGGATCTAAAGGTGACCTGATTTGAGGAGGATACCACCTACCAGCAGCTCCGGGGGCCCATCCTCAGCATCTTCTGCTGACTGCTCCTCACCGATTTTACTAGGAAAAGAAAAGAAAACAAATAACTCTGAGTCTATTTACTTTTCAGTGTAACGTATGCAGTAGTGTTTCCACTTTAAATTCATCCAGCACATGAGCCTATGACGGGCCGGGGCTCTCTGGAGGTCATCACAGCAGCCTGCGACACAAATGGAATATGCCTTGGGCAGTGACTGTCTCAAGGTCCACTTCACAAAATCCAATCCCTGTGCTGCCTTTTCCAACACTGATGTGTATCCCTGTCATAGGCTGCTGGGACTGTTCCCAGCCCGTCTACGGCCTATGTTCCTATTTGACAGTTTCATTTCAAGTATCACTTTTACATAGCAAATCTCCTAAGCCAAACTTGAACTATCACTGTTCCATAAAAGTGTGGATTTCGAAGTATGGTGGACAGTTTTTACCTGAGATCCCAGACGTTGAGACGCCGGTCGGTGCCGCTGGAGGCCAGGATGGTCTCATTGTGAGGAGACCACTGTACCTAATGGGTTGGACAGTTGGTCACTGGCAGGTCAATGTAGTGACAGTAGTATAGCAGCATGCACTTTAATGTCAAAGAATAACTCCTACAATGTTGGGTGTAAAAAGACAGTGATGATTTAACTGTTTAGGGTTAGGGTATATACTCACTACAATGTCAATAGCACACCATTTGTGTTGAGTCACAGATCGGTTCTGGTCAAATAAGCTAATGCAGTGGAATAAAAGCTGTTTTATAGCATACTTGTGTGTTAGGAATTAATTTCAGCACCGTGGCCTGGTACAGCAGGCACAGTAACTGTTTTTTTTTCTCCTCATGATGTGGGAGCAGTATTAAAGGTATGAGGTCATATTTGTGATTTACAAGAGCTTTGGCCGTACACGGCATTTGTTGAAGCTCATGTAAACCTTGGATGCACACCATGAACACACAGTTAGGGGAAAGATGTCTTTAAAATACATGTATACAAAGCTGTGTGGGCTAACTAATAGCACAATAACAACAGCAATTTAAGTTCTTACCTGGAAAATTTCATCTTTGTGGGACTCAAAGGAGTGGAGCTTCAGTTTGAGGTTCCTTAGATCCCACAATGCAACAGTCTGAGAGCAACAAAACACATTTTTCATTAAATATTTATTCCAATGTATTGGATTCGAGACTTTCTTTGTGCCTCCTCTGTACCTTATCAGCAGAACCAGTGGCAAGGATGAACTCGCTGTAGGGGTTGAAACTGAGACAGTTGACCTCAGCGGTGTGAGCATCCACTGCGTGGCTGGCTTTGGATGTGTTGTTGGACCGAGTGTCCCATCTGGTGGACGATTAAGTAGGGTCAGAGGCGGACAGAAAACAGGGAAATGGTTTTAACTTGATAAAAGCAGTCACAATACCAGACAACAGACTGGCTTTGTATCAGTCACTTACATCATGAGCTTCTGGTCGTCAGCCACCGAGCCAAACAAGGATTCGTGGAGCAAATGCCAGGAAACGTCCTCCACCACTGCTGTGTGGCCGGTGAAGATGGTCTTAGCATCCACAATCTTCCCTTCCTTTGGGCCTGCTCCGATGTCCCATAGACAGATGGTCTGGAGGGAAATAAGAGTGGCGTTGCTACAGTTGCTACAGTGATCAGTTAGAAGCTGCACCTGTGCTTCCTACTTACACTTCTAGTATTTCACTTACGTGGTCATCGGAGGCACTGAGCAGGTTGCCGCTGAGGTTGGGATTCCAGGAGAGGCCATAACCTTCTTTCTGGTGCCCTTTCAGCCGCAAGTCAGGACTACACTCCCCGCTGGGATCTGAAAGGGGAAGATGGGACAGGAAATGATGTGTGATTCACTAGAGTGTGAGCATTTTGATGCATGTAGTGATCAGCATATAAGCACAGCAGTGAACCGACCTGGCTTAGACGGGTGCTTATTGTAGTCGAACACCAGCACGTCAGAGGTGGGCGTCTTGGTGGCGATAATGCAGTGATTCTGGGGCATGTAGCGGGCTCGGTTCACCTCTCCTTCATGGTTGATCTTGATCTCGATCTCTATTTTCCCACTTACTGAACCGAATCCACCGAACTCTGGCGAGAATACAACCAGAGTGAAATACACACGAGGATAGAAAAATGGACATCAGACACTTAACCTGCAGGTTAAAGCTTGCTTTGTGACTAGTCAGTTAGTCTATTTTACTAGGGTTGCACAGTATATCACTGGCAGATACTTAACAAATGATTAAACCTGGAGACAAAAACCCTGGATTTGAGCCCACATTTGTGCATTTGTAAGATTAATATTAGCTGTTAACATATCTGGGTCTGTATTTATTTTGGTATGTATGCTATACTGGTTTTGTGTATTGAGATTTAGACTTGGACTGTACCTTAAAATTGTTCAGTGACCATAGTAACATACTGATACTGATACCAAAGGAGCAGTGAGCCTTCAGCGCGCGTGTGCGCACACACACACACACACACACACACACACACACACACACACACACACACACACACACACACACACACACACACACACACACACACACAGCTGGGCACCCATCAACATACCTGCTGGAAGATGGAAGAACAGTTTGAATATAAAGAAGGAATAGAACATGAGTCACAATATACAAAGAGCTGATCAATGTTTACAAAGAGAATGTCTATCAAATCTCACATGGCAAGCTACTAAAGTCACTTCACGATTTCTATAATTGGGTGTGTGTGGGGGCACTGTAAAATTGCAGTTGGATTCTGTCTCTGTTAAGCTATGTTAAACAATTGAGAAGTAACATCATTGTATTGAAGCACAGTGCCTCACATTAGGGCTCACAATGTGCTGCGGTCTTTATTTGACTGAGCTTGTGTAAACGGTGGCAATGTACGTATCTTAGGAGGTAGGAAAACACACTTTAGGCCTCAATGACAATCAACGAATGTAAACAAATATATATTCTGAAACATGTGAAAAGCATTTTACTGCAGGATGAGTCCTGGTGTATTTACCTCCTTTCTCGCTGTCATAGTGCGAGGCATCGAACTGGGCGTCATCATTTGGTACCTGGACGCTGGCAATCACAAGGTGGTTCTGCTCATCTGACGTATGGGTCCCCAAAACCAGTCTGTGAACGGTGTAGTCCTTCCCCTCTGGCCTGCAGCATTCCACAACAAGGAGATGATTTTTATCTATACTCAATAGCAGCGATAGCTTATTGTTTAACATCAGGGAAGGGCTTTTTGGTATGGAAACAAGGTAGGAAGTCAGAAAACATGTCAAAGACTGCTGATAGAAAACAGGAAATAGTAACACACAGATTGTTCATTTGTTTCTGTCAATTTAAATGAAGCTAGGTTGTTACGATGATCTGTGAGGTAAAGTGACGTTTATTTGTCTACGGAGTCTGGTGGTGAGCGAGAGCGATATAACAGCACAGAATAACAATCTGAGCCTGCCAGTGGCAAAAACAACAACTTTTAGTGGACAGACTTTGATGGGTGCATTTGTCCCCAAAGGATTAATGTTAGCTTACATTACGGCCGTTGCAGCCCAACATTGTGATTGTTGGATAGACTAATGAAGTCGCTTTTGTTGAGTTTTATTTTATTTCTGTCCCATTGTTTTGGTCTGTGATGCTGGTGCTCTAGTCTAGTGCAACATCCAGTGGCCAGTGCATTTTGTATATTAGTTAAGTTACTCTAAATGTACAAAAACACACACACACACACACACACAGGCTTCACAAGTAACTCTGTTAAGTTAGATACCCCAGTATATCCTCTTACACTCAATGACGCAGGTGCAGTTACATTATTGGCATTTAAATGTCAGTAAACATGTTGGGATACGACTAAAATGTGCAAAATATGGACAATATGTTCCTGCCAGACAACACGGTGTACAAAGAAAATAAAGATGCTGTTCATGTATTAGATGAAGAGAGACATCACTCTCAAGGCTGCTTGATTGCTGTGGGATAACGTGATACAAGACAACTAGAACAGCAACGGTCAGTCTCTAGGAGACTCGACAAAGCCAGCACACAGCCAGATCAGGTGGACATTGGCTGTAATAAATCGCCTGACAGACGTGTTGACACTAATGCTGGGACTTAAAGCATGCTCTATGAGCAAGAAGAGATGGAAACAATGTAAATACCTGGTGACATCTGGAAGCCACTGCACAGTAAGGCTGGGCCACTCCAGAGCATGAGTCATCACCAGGTCGTACAGGAAAGGTGTGTTTTTCTTCCAAATCTTGTACTCCTCATTGATGACCCTTTCCTCCACTGCATCGTCATACACTGTAGCAGAACAACGTGGTGTTAGTTTCAGCTAGAAAGTTACATAATGGATTTACTTGGAGAAAATGGATTAAGCACACATACAGAAGCACACTTATGTAGTATGTCTGGTACTTGCTCAAGGAACAAGACAGCCTTACACCAAACCTAAGACAGACTTTACAGAACATTCACATGTTACAGCAGCTCAAGAACACAACACAATGTAAAAAATATGCATAAACAAACAAAATAGAAATAAATAAGATGTCACAGAAATACAAAATAGGAGTTTTACATAGACTATATACACCTTTATATACCGATATGTTTGATGGGACATTGCACAGATTATTTAATACACACAGGGTGAGGCATTACACTAATATATATATTATCATCTAATATACAAATATTGTCTTGAAGGATGGATGAATTTGCAGAAAGAGTACAGCAGGAAACTAACTCAAGCTTTGGTCATTTTAGGTGACACTGACTTCATTTGGAAATTTTTATTTGTATTATGGGGAAAAAAATAGTTAAAAGTACTTTACTACCAAGATAGTTTTTTTAAAAACTTACAAAATTGATTTTGTGTTACTTTAAATGTTTTAATGTAATCTGTTTCTACCATTTTTCTGAGTTAAAGGACAATTCCGGTGCAAAATGAACCTGTGGTTAATAACATGTGTCCCGAGTTGGTCCGTTCTCTGGGATATGTTTTCATTCTAATCGACAGTGACCGGTTTTAGCACAAACCGCTAATTATCTTATAACGCTGGTCAACGGGGCACAGAGTAACGTGAAAAGAAAGCTGTTTCTATACCACAAAGAAGACTCACAATAGCACCACACTAACACAGTAGCATAATGAGGGCCCCTACCTATGAACTGAAGCATTGAGAACTTTGTAAGTGTACAGACAGTTTATTAAAAAGATAGTTTAGAACAACAGTAGCGTTCACGTATGCAGGCGGGCGACATCTTGGGAAAACAGTCACGCGACCAGTGGAGCTCTCTGAGATGAAGACTTGAACGCACCATCCCGCGTGAAACGTTGTTGCCGGAAGAAAGCACTGGCGCAACAGAGACTACTAGTCTACTAGTGCTTCCACAGGATACACACTAAAGAGATGGCGGATTATTCAACCGAATTTGAAGACATCGACAACGAACCCTTTCAGTTTGATGGACATCCTTATCTTTTCGAGCCGGAATATACAGACGAAGAGCTGCGGGAGAGAGAGAGAGAGAGAGAGAGAGAGAGAGAGAGCTACCGGTAGTCAATGCCGCAACACAGCCTCTTACTTCGGGAAACTGGTGGTGTACCTGCGGACATTGTGAAGCTATGGCCACCGAAGAGGAGTGTCTGTGTTGTTCGGAGTGGGACCTGTTGCGTCGCGACACCCTAGAGACGCAGTGTTTTGTACAGTCAGTACAGATTTCCCCTCTTTTAATAAACTGTCTGTACACTTACAAAGTTCTCAATGCTTCGGTTTATAGGTAGGGGCCCTCATTATGCTACTGTGTTAGTGTGGTGCTATTGTGAGTCTTCTTTGTGGTATAGAAACAGCTTTCTTTTCACGTTACTCTGTGCCCCGTTGACCAGCGTTATAAGCTAATTAGCGGTTTGTGCTAAAACCGGTCACGGTCGATTAGAATGAAAACATATCCCAGAGAACGGACCAACTCGGTACACATGTTATTAACCACAGGTTCATTTTGCACCGGAATTGTCCTTTAAAATAACTAACAAAATAATGCAGTATCAGTGTCATTTAAAGGAAACATTATATATATACACACATATATATATATATATGTATGTGTGTGTGTGTGTGTGTGTGTGTGAGTACAGTACATGTATGTTTATGTATAGCCACATATATATCCCCCAGCACAGGTATAATAAAATATGAATATGTATTATGTTAATATGCATTATGTTTTATATAAAGGCATACGTACGTTATATATGTATATTAAGTGTGTATAAAAGAAAATATTCCCATATAAAAGTATGAATAAGCAGGAACTGCGTGTAATGCTAGCTTGTCTCAACGTTTCATTAACGATACTCGTAAATAAAAGATGAAGAACTAACTAGCCTCAGTTACTAACAGAGTGGTCGCTGGAAGGCTGTTCTGTATCACCAGCTCTAACTGTCTCCCCTGGGTTCAGAGCTGCTACCACCCACTACGGCGTATTTTGGTGTAGTTACTTAAGTTGAAATAAGTGTTGTTTAGTGAATTGGGTGTATACTGAATTTCAAGAATACATGTTTGACGTAACGCTGTATTAACAACTTATAAACCCAGAACAGCGCACAAACTGGCTCAAACCCATAAGCCTCCTGATAGGACTCCGCTCCGCTAGCATGTCATGCTAGCACCCGTGGCAGAGTTGAACGGCGGCGGTGCACACACAAAGCGGCACATGAGGAAAACGGCCCGCCGCTGTACACGTTAAGTAGTTGTAGTAAACCTACCCTCTTTATCCGCCATGTCCCAGACTCTGCGTTTTGTCACGGTGCTCCAGGGCAAAGTAACTAAGTATACGCTGTTTTAATGTAAACTGCTGCTGCCCTAGCTAACTGCTTAGTTTGTATCACTGCTACTTCTTCCTTTTCAGCGCCGAATTACTCGATGCCTACTGCGCATGCGTTAGTGCGCGCATATCAATGAGGGCAAACACTGCGCGCAGACTGCGCATAGGACTTTCCCCCATGCTTTTATATTATGTAATAATACTACCAAATATTACCATATGCTTTTATACTATGTAATAATACTACCAAATATTACCATATGCTTTTATATTATGTAATAATACTACCAAATATTACCATATGCTTTTATATTATGTAATAATATTACCAAATATTACCATATACTTTTATATTACGTAATAATATTACCAAAATGGAAAAATAATCACAGAGGAAAGACACACAAGCAGGAAGTGAATTGTACAATGTAAAAAGGTCAATGAAAAAGATACATAAGGGACCCACGCATATTGTTCTTGTTTGTTGGCTGCCTCACTGTCTCTTTTTTATGGAAAGGTGATAAGTAATTTTTTATTTTTTAAAGAAAAAGATACACTACTCAATAAAAGTAAGGTGGCAGATTACAATGAATATTATTAATTGAATAGAACTATGTTTGGTATTGAATTAATATAAATTAAATGAGACCCTTCGTAGTTTTCATATGAGTAGAATCACAAAGAAAACAGCAAGGAATTAACACTTAAAAAAAATAGTTGTTGGATTTAAACTGACTGCTGCTGGATGGAAACATCATTGGTCAGTTGTTCCATATTCATAACCTGTGATGACAGCCTTGTTATAGATGACTATGTGGCCTTTTTAAAACGGTGTTGTTTGTTGCTGCTTGTGTTGTAGACCACTGTGTCTGCTGGTTATTGTAGTGGCCAGTGGTTGCCAACCTGGGGCTCAGGACTCCCACTAGGGGTCACAAGGCTTTCTTGATTTTAAGGGGTGTAAGAAAACTTTTACACCGAAAATATTCACAATAAATATATTATATATGTCAGCATATATGTCAAGAACACAATCTATATTCACAGAACCTTCAGTCTGCATTAGGAAAGCACAAAAAGTATCAACCAAAGAGCTAAAAAACATGGAATTTGTAAAAAAAAAAAAAAAAAGAAAAAAAAGAAGCCCCTTAATTATGTATGATTGTTAAATTATCAATATTCACAGGAAATAATCTGCTCAAAATTCATCCAAATCTCTAATTTCACACAAACTTCCTGCAGTTATTGTGTTCACTGTTTGGGTTCATTGTACAGTTTATCAGATGTTCTCTACTGTTATTGATATACAATGAATATAATATTAAATATATATAAAATATGTCACTGGGTCAGTTTACTCAGTTTAGATTCTGTAGTCTGAGGGATCTCCTTCTGATAACATTTACTTATTCCATATCTGTCTGTTCTGTGGATTGGCAGTTTCAAACCAAAGAACACAACAGTCATTCTTATACATCCTCCCATTGGCCTCATTTTTAGCAAATGAAGTAACAATGAAATCAAAGGACCTCCTCAACCCCAGGCTGAGAACAACTGCACAAGAGGACCTAAGAATGGAAGGGTCTCCAGTGTTCACCCATGGGACAGTTTAGTTTTGTGGTGTGTAATGAGCATTCCACTATGCCTCACTATGCATTCCGATGAGTTTATTTTGTAAAAGTCTCATCCATAAACAGCAAAAACAGTTTACAGTAAATTACAAACCTTGAAAATGCAAAACATGTTCCAAATACAAGCATAACAAAGATTTTAAAGAAATAAAAAAAAACATGAATTTACATACAGAAGGTGTCAGCTATCATTAAAAAATAAATAGGTCTATATCTCATGACAACAGTGGAAGCAAAGCAAAGGCGACTGGCACAGAGTTAAAAGACAGAGCAATCTGCTGTCGTCTGTTATCAGTCTAAGTAAACTCTCACAGGGATAATGATATGTTTGGCAATTTCAAAATGCATTATCACACTGTATGTTGTCGACAATGCTTCACATGAAACCATCTTCACAGCTCTCAGTTTCCTTACAAAGTAATGTGGTTCAGTTTCCTGTCAGGTTAAGACGATGAGACGAGGCAAAAGAAAAAAGTGGACTCTGACAAACCGCATACCAACAAATATCTGATAACCTCACATATCTCAAAAACTGAGAACCAATGGACACTTTCATATAAGAATGATCTGGAGTACAACAGTAGAGCATGCCACTATAAAAAGCTTTGAAATATACAGTGATCTATTTCACAGATACACAGAAGAACAGATGTATCACTTCCCATAAAAAGATGAGCTGTTACCTAGAGCAGTCCAAGTAGAATAGTGGTCCTATATTCTACAACAAAATAAAATATACAGATAGAGTTAATATTGAGTTACAATGTGTAACCCAGTTGTGCACAACACTTCATACATTTATCTATGTATTTCCATTCCTCTTTTTCTGGTTACATAAAAGAGTAACATATAGGGTGATGGATAATGTTTGACAGTTATTGAATATCCCATAAGTCCCTCCAATAATTATCCTTGTAGAAAAGCAATTTCAAGCTACAACTAGAGTGATCAGTACACTGCAATACCCAACATATATCATCGATGGTAGGAGAGTGTATATATATATATGGTGGTCAAATGCATTTGTACACAGTGACAGGTGATCATGAGTGATACAATACAGATAGGTATGCACGGGCCAGTATTAATACTGATTGATGGCTATCTACACTATGTGTGATTATGAAGTACTGGGAAGAACACACGCCACCACAACTCCCTGTTTCACCTGGCCTACATGTGACACGCAATGACATCACGTCACATACTGAGAGGAGATGCACCGATACTGTATTTTGTATTGTGACACAGATTTCACAAACTACTGTAAAACTGACCTTCTGAGCAAATATAATGAGTCATTGTTCAACTATTATTAAAGAGGCAGTAAGCTGTCTGTTTTACTGTTGCATTGCACATACGCATTTCAACAATATGTCAGGGGTCTCCAACCTTTTTGAGAGTGAGGGCTACGTAAGGGAGAAAATTGCCTACTAGAAAACTGTATTCTAACATCCATGTTAAATTGAGGCTTTCAACAGAAAAACTGTGTATTTCTACCTTTAGTCAATACAGTGTTGCCTTTGGAATTGTGGGTGTGAATGTTATTTTTCCTTTAGTCCTGATATTAACACCGAAGGACCTTATGAGAAATCTACTCAGTAATGAAGGTAATCCAATTAATTGATTAGAAGTGCAACTCAGAGAAAGGGGGAAAGGGCTGAGGTCACCATGGGGACCTATGGGACACATAGAATAACCGCTGAATGCAGAAGAGCAGAACAGAGAAGCATGGTGTCAGCTCAGAACATGTAATACACCCAATATACTTTTTGAATTCATAAAAACATATAAGTAATGTATTGAAATGTTTTGACACAATGCAACCCATTTGTACACTTCCTTAAAAGTGTTGCTCAAGCACCACATTGGAGACCCCTGCATACACTGTAGGGAGTATGGCTGCAACTAACGATTGTTTACATGATCCATTAATCGGCCAGTCATTGTCTCAACTAACCGATTAGTTGTTTGGTCCATAAAATGTCAGAAAATGGTGAAAAATATTTCCCAAATCCCAACACTGACAGTGTTAAGTTTCCCAAGTTCAAAGTTTCTGGATATTTAATACAGGCTACAGTGGATTAAAGACATTTTTGCTGGATTGGATTCAAACTGACAGCTGCTGGATGGAAACACAACATTGTTCAGTTGTTTCATATTAATTATTTGTGATGAGAGGCTTGTTATAGCCGGATAGTGAGCTGACTCTTGAAATGTGTTGGTGCTGTAGGGTGCTATAATAAAATCACGGAATGTACCTTTTAAAATAAATAATTTGATGTATTTTGAATCAATGATTGAGAAGATTATTGAATATGTCCTATCCTCTACATTTACAACTTAATCAATTATCAAAATTGTTTGGGATTAATTTAATAGTTCAGTGACCTTTTAGATGAAAAAGTCATTAGAATTGTAGAAGGCATTCTGGTTATATGCCTGAAACATTCCTGTGATTCACTCTGACAGATAAAGCCAGCCAGATCACATCCTGTTTGTGAATTTGGTACTGTTACTAGCCCTAAATTACATTGCATTTTATTTATATGGCATTTCCTTTGTTAATACAGTCATGTTTTGAATAGCAGTTACTTAACTGACATATTATTAGGCTAAACCTGAAGATGCTGTGTTACTGACAATGGTGTGGTTTTTCACAGGTTAGCTAATACATGTCTACATTCATCCATTTAAACTTGCCAAAATGTGTTTTGTGAAGATAACCTGTTGATGGGCCTGTGTTACACTCTTTTTAATTTTTAGTATGAATCCAAAATGACACACAGTGTAGCAGGGTTGTGGCCAGCTAGCTAAGGTAGCGCTAGCTTCTGGGCTGATGGTAATTCAAATTGTAATTCATGGATATCTCAACTCAGTACGGACCGGTACCAACAGAAAATACATTCCTGCATTTAAACACTGAACAGTCTCATTCTCAAACAAGAACTAAACACATTTTGGTATATAGAAATATATTACTCCTTCACCGGACTTCACTCTAGCTAGCAATGTGACATTGTGAATTGGCTGTGGATGCACATTTTTTCCCTTCTGGGAAATGAATTAAGCAATATAATTCCTATTTATTCCAATGTGAAACTGAGAAACAACTCAAATCGCCAATGAAGACTGTGAGATGTAGTTGATAGGTGTGGAAAAGGCTTTAGATGAGAGCAGCCAATCCAGGTCCTCTAGCCTTGCTTCATGGCCCCCCCCATTCTGGCTGAAAGCAGTCCCCCCAATTTGACTGGCAGGAAATGCAAATTGCCAAAGTCATTGCCAATTTAATAGAATAAAATAATCATACTGTATTGCTAGTTATAGGGGCCCAAATCCTATGGCCAGTTTGGAAAACAGTTATGTCATTGCAGAACAATGATCAGTGTCATTATATAGAAAAAATTAAATAAATGGGGGTTATGCCTGACATATACAACTACCTTACTGAATCTCATATTTCTGATATCTGTCACTTTTTCTGACATTAAGATGCTTTATTTTTTCTGTTTTGGTCGTCTGTCTAATGTGACATTACTGTAAACTAATTACATCACTGTGGCGAAGCGGAACTGCTGTCTCTATTTTCATAGCCATTTGTGTTCACTAATCGACCTTTTACCACCAGCTGACAGAAGAATAAAGCATGTGGGTTCTATCTCTACTTCCTACATTACTTTATGCTGTTTATAGGGTTCATTGTTAGAAGGAAGGTCAGCTTAGTTTATGTGAATTCTTAAGGTTAAAATACGCTCTGCTCCAGGCAGTCATCCAAACTCTATTCTAAAAGTGGTGTGTTTAATAATATTTTTTCACAGTAAAAACTTTTGTTCCACCATCACTGAGTCTCTTTAATCTACAGTTACAATCAGCACACATGTCATTTACTCAGTAACATCATCAACCAACCTGTGATGCTGTTTGCCACAGACGGACACACATACATTATCCTCTCTGTGAATGGTCTAAAGCCACAGATCTCTTTTACTGTCCTTAGCTCTTTGGGGAAGTAAAATAAAAATAAAAAATCATAAACTGGGTTTTTGTTTTTTTTGATGTGCAAAATACAACGCAGCTTTTAGGCATGGTGCCACTAGGCACTTTTACAGAGATTTAATTCTACTCTTGCAGTTATTAAAAGGGGGGAGGGAGCCACCCACACAAACTACCAATTGCTTAACAAATAAATGTCACTTAACAGATTATGAAAGCAGTATACCTTACAGTTTCACACATTTGTGTTCGGATTGGGATATCAGTGTAAGCCTAGTAGAAAAACGGCTCCACATACACACAGCTAATGTTATCTAATGGTTGCCAACAGAGCATGAAGAAAGCCTTAATGCCTCTTTAAATATCCTATACTTCATGTTTATTTAACATAAACTCACAAGCATTCAGAGCCACTGGATAAAAGTGATTACAAATCTGTCTAATTTAGAGAGTTCAAGATGACAAAGGCTTTACTTTGATTTTTGACATGGCCGTTGGCATTTAGTTTAAGTACTGAAAAAACTGTGTGACATAATGCCCTGTTATACCCTGGCATCCACATGTTGACTGATACCAGCAGCAGTACGGGTGCATCTTTCATACAAACACATACTGGAAGTCCGACAGAGAAGTGGAGGTGACAATGGTAGCCAGTAGATGGTGCTGATGAGAAATCGAATTGTAGATTCACCTTTCCAACATCACAGCTACAAAGACTGATTTCCCTTTCATGCCTTCTTCACTTAATGTTCTTCTATGAGCAGCTGGTTCTGGGGGGCACATTAATAAAGAACAGTTATTATTAGCATTATTGGTAGTAGTATTAGCCCTACTGAGTCAAATGTTTGGCAAAGGCAATGAAATAATAAAAAAAAGAAGGTATATTGGATTATTATGGTAGAAAGCACAGCAATGTTAGTAGCAACTAACAGCGACAGAGCAATAGAAAACCATACAAAATGTTTTAGTTTAAATATAATGTTTAGAATAACACAATTAACTAATTTATTAATGAAAACTTTAAACATCCAGCCATCATTGCAGTCAGCTTCTCCTGGTTAGGATATCTTCAGTGTTCATGGTTCAGGAGGTTTCTACTGGGAGCCTTATTGTCCACAGAGGTCTCCTCCTCTCCAAAACAAACAGACCCGTTTGACCCCAGTTTCTCTGATAACTTAAGATCAAAACTTCCGATGACTAAAATCCTTCATCCGGTTCAAATCTAGAGTTAAAAAGCACCAAGATCTAAACAGTGGAGTCTGACTTTGAACATAAACAACTCAACTACAGCTGCTGAGAAAGATAGAAAGACACTTTGGTTGGGTGGCTTGAAGATAGCGGATTGCTCATTGCTCTCATTTCCAGCATCTGTATTTGACAACCTGGGAATGAAACTCAACAATCAACTATCTTTCTTGGCTCTGATTGGTTGTTTTCATTCAAGCCCAGAGGGTTCTTGTAAATACTATTAGGAGCACTAGGAGAAGCCAGAGGAATCTGATTTTTTCACAGATGTCTGTCAGATATAGTTAAACTAATATGACAAAAAAGTTATCTTTATTAAAATTACCTACTGCAGCTTTAAGGTTCTGTACCATTCAGGTCAAACCGAGTCTCTGGAATGGCCTCGCTACACGAAATTGAACGGAGTCCTAATAGTAGTAGTATCATTGGCAACACTTGTGTTTACCCTACGATGTCGTTTCAAAATGGCTGTTGTGAAAAAGGTTTATTATGGAAACATCAATGAATCAGAGTGAGAAATGTGTAAGCGTTCATGAACCCCACCTTACTGTCGGTGGTATTTTGGATGATGTCGTTGTCGGGGTCTCCTCCCTCTGAGCCACTCTTCTGGTCGTCATCTTTCCCATCCTTCTCCAGGTCGTCCTCTCCAGATGAGATCCTCGACAGCTTGGAGGATTTCTGCCACAGACATACAGATCAGGGTGCAGGAACACTTTCGTCAGAATTTCCATTTCTAACAGGAAGAAAATGTCACCAGCAGCACATCATGCTTCGCAGGATATAAATAAACACAGTTAGAAGAGGTCAATAACAATTCACAGTGTAAAGTAGCAGATTCTTATAATTTGATACATTATTACATAAACTGTGTAATATTTTACTGGTCTTAAGTCTTAAGTTTGAGGACGGTTTAAATCACAATAAACTAAAACATGAAACAAAAGCCAAGTGTTTAACAGGCTTTACTATACATCAAATGGCTCTTTAACAAGTCATGGAAGTAGAACTGAAACTATGGAGGAATGCGTCTTCAGGAACACCCTCACTCACTCGCTCTAGAGGAGCATTGCATTGCAATAAAACATTTTTAGCATGTCTGGCTGTCTTCTTGAAAGCTGTGTTGCCTGCTTCAGAGAGGAGGCACTCAGATGGGGCTGGGGTGCTAGGGATACATAAGCATGACATGCTTGACATGACTTTGCTAACCTGGCCTAGGTGAGGTATCTATTCTTGTTAGCCTTCCATTCTTACTTGGCAGTTCAGATCCTCAACTTCCCCTTCTCTTCCTACCTGCTGGTTTCAGAATTGAGGACTGAGTCAAGTAAAGAGATAGGAGCTGAAGGTCCAGCAGCTGTAGTAATGGTGGAGGTGGCACTGGTTTGGACACGGAGACTGTCACTGCTGCTACTAATCGCTGAATGCAAGCAAATTGTTTCACTGGTTCATAAACTATGAATCCACCAGTGGTACACAGCTGCTTCTAGTGGTAATGGTGGTAATGGAATTTATTTATTTGAAAACATATAATGTTATCAAAATACTACAACATTTTGAAAAAAAATACCTAATCTACTTATATATTTAGTTTCAGTATCAGTCTGTTACAAAGTCACGTTGATGCACATAGTTGATTCATACATACATGATTAGTTAGGAGCTAAAATCTGATGGTAAGATAGTCAGCGCAGGTCAAATGAATGGTTCAGAAACACTGCAATCGTGGCTCCAAATGGGAACTAAAGTGTAGACCACCACATTAGCTCTGGTTCTTGAACCAGTTCCATTCAGGATTCAACAACAGTCAACAATAGGTAATTGTCCTATTGGGAGTAAAGCTGTCTCCTGTGTGAACTGTCTGGAGCTGAAAAGGGCCGGCCTACGCTGCGTATTATAACATCGGCCATAACTTGAAGAGCCTGATATAACATCGGCCATAACTTGAAGAGCCTGATATTTTCTCAGGTGGTCTGCAGTGGTTGAGAAACACTGTTCTAGTTTATTAAAAATGTAATCAGCAATCAATACATTTGAAAGTAGTAGTAATTGTGGTAGTAGTAGAAGCGGTGTCACAAACCATCCCATAAAACCATACAAAATACAAGCATCAGTCATTAACTGCTTATAAAAAATTAAATGCTTCCAGAGCTCCACTTTATTTCATCACTGGTCACTATGCATGTATATATGTGTGAGGCAGTGGGGTTGAAAGAGGACTGACAGAAGGTTGATGAACAACCAGGTGACTGTTACCTCCTCTCACCACCCCATACACACAGAGATCACATTTAATCTTTTCTCAGCTGACAAGATTCTAGTGACCTTGTTCACCTCTTGTACGTACACACACACCCACACACACACACACAGTGTTTCAATGATGTGACAGGACACCAACACATTGACAAACCGCTCCCCAACAGCGCCACATTCCTTCAGATGCACCACATGTGCTGTGCGTAATGGAGCCCAGTTGCTAGGCAACAGTGGTTGCTAAGTGAGGAGCAGGATGTGTGTGACTTTTTCAACCTGCTTCCATTTACAGCAGCGATGGCTTATGCACTAATACAGTAACACACTGTGGCAGTGCTAGTCTCTGCAGCACTCCATGCCTTCAAACCTGGAAGACTTTTTTTTCAAAATAAAGACCAGGTCAAACAGAAGAGAATGGTATAATACAGTAAGATCACTAGGAACAGAGGTTGTTAAATATGTTTGGAGGATGAAATCTGGACAAATGTCACATGGTGAACCAATAGTCTAATTTTCAGGAAAAAAAAGAAAAAATTTGCCAAGTTGCCCTATTTCAAAAAATCCTTAACAGGAAGCCTCAAACCTCTTTGCTGCAAATACGGTGTCCATAAACAGCTAGGTATCACATTGTAATACTGAAGTACTGCTCATAGGTTTTATAATTCCCTCTGGAAATATGCACCACATATAGGTTGGAGGATAAAGCTGCTTTTACTGTTAAGAAATCAAATGGAAAGACAAAAACCAACAATGCGTTAATTCATCTCTCTGTATTGTCTGATTTCCCTAATGCAGCTGGCCACTTTACTTTTTATCAACCAGGAGGAAATGGTGCATTTTCAGTGACACATTTGCTGCTCTAGGGAGTATTTCTAAAGGGATTGAACCAAAATAAACTACTGTTCATGGTAATAAAGGACCACCCAGTGCAACAGTGTGGCTCACAGGTGTGTTTTTAATAGTTTTTAACAATGGAGCTCTGTGGCACAGAGCAAGAAGATATATTACATTCAAATGACCCATTATTGTCAACTGACTTGTCAAAATCTTTAGAAGCTACGGGGGAAGGGTCTATCTCATCTCAGAGACTGTCTGAAGGTATGCGCTGTTATCCACATTTTGAAGATTAATTGAATCTAGGTCATAAAGACACGCACAAGAGAGGGTTTCTGGAGGGTGGTCCGGGAGGTAGCCAAGTGGAGGCTATGACAACAGGTTTTTAATCCCGCATTCAAGTGTGGTCATTTGGAACAGGTATAAACACATGAAAAGTTGTCAGACAACAAGTCATGCAAACTAGTTTGTTTTGAAGCAAAAGAGACCTTGAGAGTGTCAGCCTGTTATAAATAATCACACCCCAACAATTACTCCTATGTGCCAAAATACAATTCCTTCAAACATCACAGGTCGATGATATGTAACACCGCTAATTCTTAATTCTTAAGTCTGCTGATAAGGCAGTGGATACTTCCGTATCTCTTGCCAGATGGCAGCTGGGGTGGGTACTGTCTTTTAGTATTCTTTGGTCAGGTGAGGTGTCTGCACAGAGCCCAAATGACACTAAAAGACAGCACCCACCCTAGTCACAGCCTGTTCACCATGCTGCATTCTGGGAAGAGATACAGATGTTTTCCGTATCACCAGACTATAGAGCAGCTTCTTCCCTCAGTCTGTGAGACGCTTAATTCATCCTCAGCACTCCATCATGCAAAATAGTTTTTTATTCTTATGACTTATTAATCAAATTTACTGCATATAAAAGTTGTATACTGTAAAACTTCAATTTATAGGCTTTTATTTGCTTCAATCACTGAACTCAACCTGCCTTTATTTGGAACAGGCCTCTATATGGGACAGACCTTCCTTTAGCACAAAACTCTTGCTCAGCAAAGACAGGGAAATACTATCATATTGTTTATTTAAACCAGTATGAATATTACTTAAAGTATAAAAATGAGGTTAATGAGTATCAATTACGAATCATACATTCTATTTTGATACTTTGGTGCTCAATGTTTCTTTAAAATGAACTGAAGGACTGAATTGTAGAGAATCTAACTGATCTAATGATGGGTATGTTTTAGTGCTGTCAGTTAAACGCGTTACTAACAGCGTTAACGCAAACCCATTTCAACGGCGTCAATTTTTTTATCGCAAGATTAACGTTCTTTTTGGCCTAGAACACTTTGTAGTTTTTTTCACATGCTGTTGCAACAACTAGTAACGTTAGAAAAACTACAACACCACACTGGATCTAGCTAGACCGAAAACAAAACAACAGGCACGCCGCACACACTTGTTTAAGAGTAGTAGACGTTACATTTTGAGTGGATGGCGAGCGCGAGACGCCGAAATGGATGCCAATAATATTCTGAATGGAAAGTTTACTTTTAAAAAGTTGCCAAATAGTTCCATTGACAAGTCCAAAGTGATCTGTGTGTTTTGTCGTTGTAAACTGAGCTATCATCGCAGCACGTCCAGTCTGAAATACCACTTGATGGACAAGCACACAGCTGATGCGAATTCTCCTCGTCAAAGCCAGGCGACAATGGATGACTTCAGACAGAAGCACATGGATACCACAACTAAGAACAAACTTACTGCAGCCATAGCTAAATGGGTGGCTACTGCATGTAGGCCTGTTAACGTTGTGGAGGACGAGGGTCTAGCTAATATTATTTGCATCACATCCAACGACCAGACCTACGAATTGCCTTCGAGAGTCACCATTACAAGCCATGTACAGAAATTGCACGAAGCAGAGAAGGCTAAGGTACAGCAGGCGTTGGAGAAGACAAAAGCAGTCGCACTCACTGGTGATGTTGATAAGAGCATTAAAATGAGAAAAAATAATGTGACAAAAAGAAATCAAGGGACATTAAGAATAGATAAAAATGTGCGATTAATTGCGAGTTAACTATGACAATGCGATTAATCACGATTAAATATTTTAATCGTTTGACAGCACTAGTATGTTTTTTAAATGTAACATTTATATTTGTGTAGGAGATCAAAGCAGCTTAGAACTCGCTCGACTGGGTTGTTCTCCAGCTGAAGTTAAGTACCTTGGAGGTGGCTGTCTTTTTCCGTTTGGATCCGGTCTTGTCACCCTTCAGCTTCTCCTTGTCATCTTCCTCCTCAACGGAGTCGCCCTCTTCGCCCTCGCTGCTGCCATCAGCAGCATTACCCCCCTCTTCTGTTTCTGATGAACTCTGTTGGTGGATGGCCTGTATATGAAAGATGCCCATCAGCAGGAATGGCTAGTTCCACAGTAACTGACACGTCAAATATATTGTGATATTTCTTACGCTAACACTATCTGCTTTGAACAGCCCCTTCATTTGTGTCTTACAGTTTCGGCGAGGCATCAATGTGGCCTTTGCAATCTGTCTTCTCTGTGAACCACGCACATAATAGACTGCTGACTGACCTGATAGCCTGTGAACTTGACTCCGGGGTTGTTCTCGATCTCCCACAGGCCCTCGTTGAAGCCTTTCCTCTTGTTGGACTTGCCAAATTTGTCTTTATACTCCTTGTAGGGCAGAAGATCCTTAGGTCCTAAGAATGCACTGAAGAAGGTGGAAGAGACATTTACTATTACTGCTATTACTGAAACAGTATGGAAAACCACATTATGTTTCAGGAGTTCAGTTCAACAGTAATCACAAAAAAACTGGAAGTTTACACATAACAGTTTTTCGACAACCCCACTAATTTTAAAAACTATTTGCTCATACACATATATGAGGATACTGGATACTATGGGAAAATTATTCATTGTGTGTAGATGAGTGACTTGAGTGGATTGGGGCTTGTTTTACAGAGTCCTCAGCAGCTGTAGATCCCAACATTATAACATTTTAAATTAAATCTCGATTTTACAATTCAGCAATTTTGTTGCATTTTTTTTCTAAACCAGTGGTTTCCAACCTGGGGGTTGCAAGGCCTTCTTGATTATAACAACCAAAGAGCTAATAGAACAAGCATCGGGGAGAAAAAAACACTGAAATTGTCAAAAAAAGGAAGCATTTGAGTATGTATGATTGTTAAAAATTGAATTAAATAAATAATAAAGACAGAAGTTTATATAAAAAGTTCCCAAAAATATCAGAAAAGTTCATCTCTGATCAATATTCACAGGAAATAATCTGCATTTAATATAATATGAAATATCCATAAAATATGTTGTTAGTCAGGGATCATCAGTTCAGTCAATGATAGCAAAGAGGTCCCTGAAGGAAAATGGTTGGGAACCACTGCTTTATTAAATATTATTAAATATTTTGTTAAATATTGAAGTATGTTGATGATGTACATCCTTGGGTGTTAATGTTATTACTAAAGTGAATCCTTTTAGGACTATATTTAAGAAACTACATTACAGGATCATCCTTTTATTCTCTGCCTTGTATTAAAAAAGGACAGGAAAAAAGAGAGAAAAATAAAAATTTGTAATCATAAATCGCTTAAAGGAGCCAACTCGTTCATGAACAACACAGCATTATTCTGTGGATGAAGGCCGTAAGATGTGGTTGAAAGCTCCAGAAAATGCTAGTGCACCTTGAGTTAAAATTATTTTTATTTCCAAGGTCAAGATATGAATTGCTCAAGCTTAAAACATGTTGCTTTTCGTAAACTAGGGTATTAAAGTGTTGTAAGGTACATAAGCATTTTCAAACAATCCCCAGCCCTACTTAAACACACAAAATCCAGTGGCAGCAATGTAAAAAACTATTAAACATGGTGCAATTGCATTAGTGAGTTTGACAGCTGTTTTCCTCCTAAACAACATCAGTGTGAGTGGAAGGCTGCACATCCTACGTTTCATGGGTCCCAAAGAAGAAGATGGGATACTTGTTGGCAGGTGGTTTGACAGCTCCTTCTGGAAGCTCATCAATCTGAAGGACAGAGAGAGAGAGAGAGAGAGAGAGAGAGAGAGACTGTTACTCAATATTTATCACGCTCCTCCTAATGCTCATGCTTCAGATACATACAGGCTGCTATGGTGAAACTGACCTAAACTGTAAGACCTGCTGTATACCGGTGCCAACTTGTTGTAAGAGGTTACAAATGGAGCCTGACTGCACACAGTAACTCATGGTATGATACAGCCCATGTGCGCCACTGAATGTGAGGCCAGGCTGTCTGCTATTGGGTGCCCACAGTGTATAACAAATAACATCATTCATCGCATATGAGACGGAGGTGTTACGGGTTACCTGAGGTCAACTACTGGCTCATTTATTCCGTGTGTGACAGATAAATACATTACATTCAGTCAAAGACACGTTGAACTAATAAGCGGAAAATATTAACATGAGAAATTGCGGTATAACTCCAGCAAGAGCTGAATGGAGCAGGAAACGTATTAAGAAAATGGAGCCCAATAAATGTTAAGTTTGTTCCTCATTTTAAAACGTCTACGTTTTTAATCAACCTGGCTGGATACAAAGGCTTTTAAAGGACGTTCTGGTCGTCAGTAACAGAAATACGAAGCCCAAACGCGGCTGTGGAGTCAGCCCCGTAGCATCCCTCCAGTTCCCCCACAGAAGCAGCGGCCGTATTGTGTAAATCCACCCCGCCTCCCCGCGCTCCCAGCCCGGCCGCAACCCAGACTCACCCTCGCCGGCCAGTGCGGGTATCCCTTCATCTTAGCGAAAACCAAATCTCCTGCCGTGTATTCCCGCGGCCGTGGTCGAGCCATGTCGCTGGATAGAAACTGAGGTCTGGTATGACTTTAGAATCCTTTTGCGGTTCTCCCCGGGGCCCTCAACGCAGGGCTAAATTATCGACCATCAATGTTTTTATATCAAGACTGCAGTTTACACGGAAATAAATAATTAAAAAACGCGGAAAACGGGGCCTGGAAGAGGGCTATCCTCTTACGCACAAATTCAGCTGTAAACGTCATCGAGAATGGCCTAAGTTGGAGTAGGGTACCTGAAAGAAACGCAAAGTGTGGCAGAATAGGAGAGAGCAAACTTCCGGTCTTCGCAATAAAAACCATTGCTGGCGCACGTGCCTTGTATGTTTGTTTTGCTCTTGGTTTAAAAAAAAAAAAAAAAGATTGTTTACATTCACTGAATATGACAGGAATCTCTGTTCTATTGAATTCATTTGCTTATTATTTTGACCACAAATCCAAACTTAAAGCTGCAGTAGGTACGTTTTATAAAAAATGTCACTGTGCTCTGACAGTAATGCCACAGATAATCTGTGAAACAATCCGGTTCCTCTGTATTATTCTATTTATTCTAGCGCTCCTAATGGCATTTGTTAGAATCCACCGGACCTGAACAAAAACAACCAATCAGAGCCATGGATAAAGACGGGGTGGGGTTGGAGGCTTGACGATAGCTGATTGTTGAGTCTCATGGTGCTATCCATTTGTCCCGTAAATCCCCCGTCCGAGTTGCTCTGCCGCGAGAACGTGACGTCATTACCTGGCTTGTACCACTTATAGCGTTCCATTTGTCTTCGGGCATTACGAGTCGGAAAGAAGTGCAGCAGCTGTGTTGTTATTGTTTGTGGCTCATCTAAACAAGCTCAATGTGAAATAATAATAATGTTTTTCTACAGAAACACTAACATTGCAAGTAATAATGTTATTGCAAGTCTTACATTTCAATAATATTTTGCCATTTACGCCTATTTCAATTTCAACAAGTGCTGTGGCGTTTGTCTCGAGCCACCAGGGGCCTCCAGGGGCCACCAGGGGCAGTGGCAGGCTAGTGTTATTGTTAGCTACATTAGCCTATTTAGCAAACCAGCTCGAAAACAAAACTTTACATTGTATTGCACGCACAGCAACACCGTGCAATGTATTGGTGACCGGACTAAAGCAGCAATGTAAACAAGTGTGTAAGAGCATTTAAAATCGACATTAAAACGACCAACGTAGAAGAAATACAAAGAAAATACATCTCAATATGGGCGCTGCCATCTTTGTTTTGCGGGTCGTACGTTCGTCCTCGTTGAGCTCGGTGTACTGTGAGGAACCCCGAGCTGGACGGCTGAAATTACGACCAAAAGGGGGTGTGTCTCGGTGAAATGTCGCGAGATAGTTGCGAGATTTACACTTTCCAACTCGGGCTGGGGGTTTACGAGACAAATGGAGTGCTCCTAATGGCATTTACAAGAATCCACCGGGCCTGGACATAAACAACCAATCAGAGGCGAGAAAAATGGGTGATTGCTGAGTCTCATTCCCAGGCCATCAAATAGAGACGCTTGGGGGCCCTGGGAATGAGATTCAACTACCTTCAAGCTTCCAACCCAAAGCCTCTTTCTATCTTTCTTGGCTCTGTATCCTCCCCCAGTAATCAGGACTAAAATAAATACTTGCTACATTTTTAATTAACTATTCCACAGCCTTTTCTCCATAACCTTACTTATTTGCAGGCTTGAAAGTAACCAATTACATTTACTGTTTTCACTGTTTTTTTTTTTTGTTTTTATACTTCTACGTCTACTTTCTTGAGTATTTTTTATAAAAATCAGTAATTAAATTTTTTATATATACTACTACTACTACTACTACTATATAAATGTAAAAAGACCCAGAAAAAATAAAGAGGACATGAGCTCAGTGTTGCTGAGGGTAACTATGGGCCTGAATGAAAATGGATGTGTGCTGTGGAGGTGCTGAAGGTGCAAACCAAAAGAGGATGTAAGGTGGGTAAAGGTGAGAGAGTCAGGGGCCAAAAACCCAACAAAGCCAGGTGAGCATATTTGGCTGAGACACTCCACTGTCAACCAACTGAATACTGTGGTTGGCCAGGACAGCCTCCAGGACAGTAGGAAGTGCATCACACATACAGTTGAGGAAACACTTTGTAGCTTGTTCTTAAGTATTAATTGATGTATTTATTTAAGGTTTTGTCAGCTTCTAATTCTAACACCAGTGTCTTGTGGGAGCAGTTGAAGGTCCTTCCCCTGGATCTGAGCTGTTTTTTGTAAGTTTCTCCTCCTCTCTGGCCTTTTCATCTGTAGGTCCTCCTTGCCCAGACCCAGCGTGTGATGTGGGGTCCTCATCACTGTCCTCCATTCTCCCTTCCCGCAACACCCAGGAGCTCTGCAATATGTTGCTGATCGTAATCCGCTTCTCCACAACAGGGTGCAGAAGGCTTCGGATGAGGTCCTTTGCCTCAGAAGAAACAGACGGACTGTTTGGGAAGTCGATATTGTGCTGCATTTGAATTCCCACCATCTTCGTAACGTTGTTGGCATCATAGGGCATTGTTGCATAGAGCATCATATACAGCACAATACCCATACTCCACACATCTGACACTTTGGGGTTGTATGGAAAGCTTCTCAAAATCTCAGGTGCTGCGTAGGACGAGGTGCCACAGTAAGTTTCACTGAGCACCATCCGTCCGTCTATGTAAGTCAAACTCTTGCTGAACCCGAAGTCGCACACTTTGAGGTTGTGAAATCTGTCCAGCAGCAGGTTCTCACATTTTATATCTCTGTGGGCTACGTCTCGGCTGTGAAGATACTGGATGGCCTCACACAGCTGTGTGAAAAACCTCCAGCTTGAATGGTCGGGTAAGGCCCCCTTGACATTGATATGCTTCAAGAGGTCTCCTTTTGCACAGAGCTCCATCACCACATAGACCTGGAGATACAAAGGTGTATGGTAAAATATATGCAACAGAGCATGCAATGGATGTAAAGAAAATGTAATTAGAAAAAACAAACCCCATAACACAAACTGTAGCAGAGGGTGAACATGGTCAAATACTATACATTCCTAACACCGCCATTGTCGTTGTGAGCATGTTAGCATCAATATTACACTGACTTAGAGGTCAGAAATGGTTCTGCTTTTGCATGTGAGGAAGGCTGATGTGTTTTTTTTTTCATCAGGAAAAACACCAGTTGCATTTTATGGATGTAATGCAAGGCTGCAATGTTTATTCCACAAGTCTGCATGTCTGCATTTGGCTTTACACTAAAAGTTGGCAAACCCACGCTGGCAGTTGGTAGAAATCAAATAGGCTGCTTGATTTTCTGTGATAAATGATTTTCTACCACATGCCACAATACAACATGCCATGGAAACGGCTGTGCATGTATATTCAGTTTAATATAACCAAATAATAAAAATGGTTTGTATTTGAACTCCACAGAAAAAAGTTATTCTGAGTGTAAATAACAGTTGTGTAATTGTGCCATATTGAATGATTTTCTCTTTAAAAATGGGGGTTATGTATACAATGGGAGAAGGCCCAGGTGAATGTAAAGTTGGCATTAAATCTATGAGCTATTAACCAAAATCTGAAAAGCACTTTTGAGACCCCTAATCTAATCAAGAGTTTCCTATTTATTCTCAAATCAGGTGCCATGCAGGCTTCAATATGGGATCACAAGCTAAAATATCTGGATATCTGGAATATCTGTCAGGTTTTATCTTGCCTTGCACAACTAATGGTGAAAAGTTACTGAGGAGGAACCGAACATAGTATTGTATTTGAGCTTACTTAAATGTGCGCTCTAAAAAGTCCTGCTGTATTGAATACAAGGTCCAGTTTACACTGTCCAGGCAATAATCGCCTATTGATACTGAATCTGGATTGTCTGAATCTAATATAATGCGCAACAAATTTGAATATGATTATTATTACTCACTGTGAATGAAAGCGAAACTCTTCTGTGCCGAAGAGTTAAATTTTATACTAGAAATGCTCTTTGTTACGCATGATGAAAATCAATATATCGATAAAGAAAAGAGACGAAAATAGACATTCAATACATTCAAATCATCCCATGTATACAAAACATTTCATTATAACATTTGCATTTATACTGTATACTATAAAGACATTCATATTTTAAAAGATATATACAACAAATAAAAGAAAAGAAAATAAGAGTAACAAACCCCAAAAACCTTTGGTGTCTGTTAAACAATTGGTGTAAATTTGAAATGTCTAAATATTCTAATCAGTGAAATGTACGCAGTTGCACTTGAACGTCACATCACTTAGCTAGCAGCAGTAAATCCGATTAGCGTCATGGCGGCTCAGGCAGCCGCCGACATCAAAACTGAACAATTTTGACTGAAAACTGGATTTTCAGATTAAAAATGAAATAATATCGAGAGGGAGGTGTACCCCAGCATTAACCAACCTATATGAGAGAAGCGACAGAAAACTTTACGGCGTTTTCAAACGGCTGTTCTAGCCGTTAGCAACTGTACTGCTACCTGCACTGTCTGGACTGAAGCTGCTACAGCATCTCAACAACCTGCCCACAGTTTTGGATTAGCACGAAAAGTTGTCAACACACCTACAGAGTTGAAACGTTCGGCAAGTTTGGGACTGACTACTGTCGGAATCGGACTGGACAAGCACGGTTTCCCGCCCTTCTATTCTGTCAGCTGAGAGCCAGAGACTGACCGCACTGAAACAGCCTGGATCTAGATCGGCGAGTCTTACATTTATGTAACATTATGTTTAGCTTGTTGTTTTAATGTGTGTTTAGATATTCAGCTGGATAAAGTTATGACTCTGAGAAGAAGTGACGTAAACTTCGATTTTGTCTTAAAAATATAACAGAAAATTGGGGAAATTTTATCTGTACAGAGATCATCATCTGTTCATATTCAGCTAATGTTATAATGGTGTCCTTTCTTGTAAGAAAAAAAGAAGAAATAATTGTATAATAATTTGTTGAAATAGAAAGGAGCTTTAATAAAAACTCAATTATGGTTCTAATAATTCTAGAGAAAGATAGTTGATTGTTGAGTCTCATTCTCAGGCTGTCAACCCAAACGTCGGTATTTGACGACCTGGGACTGTGACTCAACAATCAGCTGTCTCAGGCAACTCCCAACTTCCTGTCTGAACTCTTGGTTTTCAGACTGTGACTGATAGGCAACAGGGGGTCACACTCACACAAAAGTCCCTCTACAGCCAGTGTTTGGTTTGTCTGTTCTGGACTACTGTAGAAACATGGCAGACCCCGTGGAAGGCAACTAACTGCCTCTGTAGATATAAACAGCTCATTCTAAGGCAACAAAAACACAACCATTCTTATATTCAGCTGATTATACACTAATGAAAACATACCTATGAATATTATATTCCATTTCTGACAATAGATCCTCCTCAGTGTTACACACTGGACCTTTAAAAATATTTATTACCTTTTTTGTGTTTGATTCAAAGATATCAATAGTCTTGACAATGTTGGGATGGTTCAGCGACCTGATGATCTGCATTTCCTGGGGCAGAAACTTCTCCAAGTAATTATAATGTAACTTTTTTTTATCCATAACCTTTATGGCGACCTTTTTGTCCAGGTGGGATGAGTGCGCACTTATAACTTTGCCATACATTCCTTCCCCCAGGTTCTTATGAAATGTGTAACCACGGCTCTCCATGAAGCTTCTACCATTCATCACGAATGTAATGATGAACCCAGTAAGCTGAGTTACTAAATGCTCTCAAAAAAACCTGTTACAGATTATAGAATCATAACATTATGACATCATTTTCCAGAAACAAAGATTCTGAGAACTTTCCAACAGAACTGCATGTAGACATTAAACCTGTTGACACCTGGTTTCAGAATGCATCTTGGGTGATCCGATCACAAGTGGAGAGTGAAAGTAAGCAGTAATATTAATTCCATTTATTTGGCAGTAGACACATTACAGCTCTACTATCAAGCAGGCAGGTCTTTAAACACAATACAAAATGTATCACTGCCACAAATCTTCGATAGTGTTTCTGAGAATTGATACAGTATTACAAAACATAGTATCTGTAAGAAAGTATTGATCTTATACAAAACTCTGCTGCCAGGCTTTTTAAACCCGTCATAAGAGAAGGCCAAATCACGCCAGCCCTTCACTGGTCACCTGAGAGTTTTGAGTTTTAAAAAAAATCATTTACTATGGAATTAATTTGTTTAAACTCTGTTTTATACATACAGGAAGTGAAGAGTTTGAGAAGTGGTTGGTTAGTTTCTCAGGTTGAACTAAAAATCTGCCAGTTTTGCTGCTGCAATTACAAAAATGTCACGTCCTCTGACACAATACTGGTGGACTTAAATGCACGACTCTGGGACAGACGAAGATATAGCAAAAATGATATTTATTTATCCAAAATAAAATTCAAACAAAAGGCGCTCTCAAGGAGGATCAACAAATCAACACAAACTTCAACTGAAACATGAAATAACCTGAACACTGGGGTGGAACACTTGACAATACTCTTTCTACCAACTGAATAAGATGAACTGTCAAAGACAAAGGGAGACAAGGACTATTTATACCAAGTGTAAGTGAAAACGGGTGAAAACAATCAGGGGCGGGGCAGACAATTACAAAGGCGGGAAAATCACACAAGGAGGAAGCCAGGTCTGAATTGTGAGGGAAAAGGTGAGTAAAAAATAAAACAGGAAGGACTAAACATGAAACACTAAACATGAACATGACTAAAATTAACACACTTGACGAGACACAACAAAAAATCAATGTACAAACCATGAGCAAACAATAATTTAAACATAAACACTGTGGTGTTTGTCAGTCAATTTGGCAGTGATATGTAAGTATTTATTTCATTTAGTTAATTAGTCTATCCATGTGTTTTGCTTTAATTATATTACTTTGTTTCTCATTAGAGCAGCAGAAAGGCACTTTGGGTTGGGTTGGAAGATTGTTGAGTCTTATTCCCAGGGTTACAAAGGGGTCTGTATTTAACCACCTCAGAATGAGAGTCAACAATCGACTATCTTTCTCGGCTCTAAGTGGTTGTTTTCATTCAGTCCAGGTGGATTCTTACAAATACCATTAAGAGCACTGGGAGGAGCCAGAGGAACCTGATTGTTTCACAGATTATCTGTCTCATGTTCTACTGTCAGGATATAGTGAAAGTTTCAGCAGATATGACAAAAAGTTACCTAATGCATTTTTAACTTGATTTTATTTTATTTTTTTCAAATAATGTATCTATGTTTTGCTAGGAAAGGGGGAGGGAGAGGGGATGACACACCTGAACCCATGGTCCTTGCAGCAAGGACTCCCTGGTACACCAGATCCACCAGGTGAGCTACCAGGGGAACCCTCTTTTTGTTCTTTTAGTTTTTCAATTTTAATTTATTTATATAGTATTTTTCTTCTTTGTATTTAATTGATTAATTAAGAAATCCATTCTGCTTTATTTCTATGTGTTAATTTGTGATTATTTGTTTTTTTTTTTTTTTTTTTACCTGAAGCTGTTTTTGTGACATGATAGGATGGTGTTTCATAAAGCCTTCCAGCAGGTGGCAGCAGCAAACAACCATCTGCCTCACGTGTGAAGTCAGAAGAAACATATAAGGTATGATTCATGCAATGTGTAATTTGAGTAATATGTATAAAAGTTAGTTACAGGAAGAAGAACAAACCACTGGTTTCTTTATAGCAAACAGAAGGATTACATGCCACACTGTGTTGTATGTGTGCTCTGTGTGCTCTTTGTACTGTGGGTGGCAGCAGAGGCAAGCACAAATGACTGTCCTGCACTGGCTCACATGCTTCTCATCTGTCTCCTGCAGATGTTTGTGGACTGCTGAGCCAGTGTCATGTACCATTGTTCCAACATCAGGAACCCATTATCCCAAAACCATTACCTGCCTTCTACCCATCTCTCCAGCTATTCATCTCTGAATACACCCACTTACTCCTTTATTCATACCTGTCAGGTGCTAACACCTTGACAACAGGTGGTCACATGAAAAGAGAGGCATTTCTATATTGCTGTCATATTGTTGGCTGAGGTTTCTTAGCTAATAGCATTAGCCCGGGTCACTGCTATTTATCATGTCCTTGAAGTCCTGTTTAATTCAGAAAAGTTTGTTTGGCTTCCACACTGTGACTGCTGCTCATTGATGCACAAAACGCAGATAAATCTGGCTTCTATGGCTGCCAGTAGTGCAATGTCAACTCCCATGATCCTAAATAGCCATAGTCATAACAATGCCTGCGACCAGCCACAGCACTTCACAGCCATAAAGCCCCCCTGGCACGCTCAATTTATCGTACATTTCGCACTTTCACACTGTTCACAGAAAGACCTTCATGTGGCATTAGTGTTACTTTCTGGAGAGGCCCTCTGACACCCAGCCTGATGCACCTTCCGCGCCTCGCATTCAACCTGAAGGGAGAGGCGCACGGAGAGGACCCCGGCACACAAATGTGGGCAGTTTGGTTTGCGGCTGACACCCAGCGCTCTGAATAAATGATCTAAATGCTCGCCAGAGATTATTTTGCCACTGCCGCCCCTCAGCGATGACACGGGGGGGGCAACACCACCCCTGTGGCCCTGTGATGGCCAGCCAGGATGAATATGAGGAAATGAGGCAGACATCCAGTAAATAATAGTTGCCATTGTGCCCTTCGGCAAGCGATGGGGCCGGCGATGGGCTGGAGGGATGGGTGGAAGGGGGTGGGGGGCTCCCCATGATATGCCAGGGCCTGACATGGCACCCAGACCCAGAGCTGTCACCCCTGCGGAAACATCACCCTCGCCTCCACAATTTGTGCACTTAACACTTCAGTTGGCACATGACAGGTGCTTATTTCCCCGCACTGGCTTTTCCCCCTTGCAGTGATGCCTCTGAGCCCAGGGCACACACGGCATCTGGTATGGATGTCTGTCCACGATTCCGCTCTCCGTAAAAGTGTGTGACTACACCAGTGATACTTTTCACATCCGCTCACACTGCATTTGCAGCCCACTGAGCATGGCTTGTGAGTGAGTGTGTGTGTGTGTGTGTGTGTGTGTGTGTGTGTGTGTGTGTGTGTGTGTGTGTGTGTGTGTGTGTGTGTGTGTGTGCGTGTGTGTGTGTGCACGGAAGGGACAGAGGAATCATGTGTCCAGATAGTAACATCAGCCCATTCTCCTCACATTCACAGCAGTTAAAGTATACTGCTATTTTTTCTGTATATTATTTATGCCAATAACATTTCTTTTAGTTTTCTGATATTATTATTTTTTTACTTTTACCCCCTACATTTTTACACAAATATCTGTACTTTCTACTCCGTACATTTTCAACACAGTCTTTTTATCTTAATTTGAATGCACTGAAGGGGATTTTTTGGCCTGTTTTGCAGTGCACGCCTTCCCGACATGTCACAAATGCAGGATTCCCGCACACAAAACATTTTCCAGAACATTTTCCAGGACATTTGCTTGACAATACAGTACAATACAGCACTTGCTTACAAACAGCTATATAAGCTGCAGTTTCGAACAAACTGACTACCTTATTTTGGTCATCAGCAACAAATCAAGTAGAATTTATTTTATAGAAAATGAATCTTCTAGAAACTTAAAGTGTTCCTTGCATGTACAGTTAACATCATTGTGCATGTATTTATCACAGCAACAAGAAATGTGTTCATTATCATGCTGTATGCATGGGGAAATGAGAATTTTGCTAACAGCTCTGGAAAAAATAAACTTGATCCCGAAAAGATTTCAAGTCAGTTTCAGTTTGGGTCTGGTAAACCTGCTTTGAAGCATCATAAAGTTTATCCTACCAACAGCCGGGTTTTAAACAAAATTGGAACCTAGGTTTATGTAGGCAATCTGAGTGAGGGGCTAACATACACATTTTCAACATACATTATTTCCAGAATATTTTAATCAATTTCCAGGTGTTTCCATAACTGGAAAACTAGGCTTTAAATTTCCAGATTTTCCAGTTTTCCTGAAATGACTGAGGCGTGATAAAAACACTACATGTGTATGACAACAAAAACACAGACCCAAGAAAAACAGACAAACAATGGCTTTGAGAGCGGAGAGAGTTACAACTGGCAGTAACCCTTATTACCGACTGACAACAGTGGCTAAATAAAAACAAACAAAACATCAACTCCATGTCATCTCAACACAAACATTGCACAGAAACAGTCGGTAGAAATGTCAGAGAAACCAAAAGAGTACTTTTATACTTTGAGTACTTTTCAGAACCTGTGCTTTTCACTTTTACTCGAGTAAAGACTGTGTCTACTTTTACCATCATACCATCAGGATAAAGACGGTTGAAGGACTATAGTTCTGAGTGACTGGCTGCCCCGTGGTATTCTCACCAATAGTTCATCTAGCATTTTTAACACTGGCCTGATACTGCGGGCCAATCAGCTGGCCAGGCCACCAGGAATTCTCCAGTGCAGGCCTGCATGTGTCTGTAGAGGCACTGTGAGTCTCATCATGGTGAGTCCTACCTCAGCTCGATCTCTGTTGCACTAATGTGCATTTGTGCTGCAGCAGTTACACAATAATAATAAAATAATTAAAGAAATAGATTAGGATAAATATGCAGGAAAGCAAATCAGCCCACTGTCTGTGTAGTCTGACACAGTGCCGCTTTCACTTTCCATCTCCTGCTTCAGCCTACGAA